GGGGATATATTATATATTATAATTACGGCCTTGGTACGTACACACAGACGTACGTACGTAGTGCAAAGCTAAGGCGTCTTCGAAGACGGAAGCCAACGGAACCCCTGGGGCCGGCCCCTCTGCCACGAAACGGCGGTGACCTGCGGCAGGGTCACGGGCATGGGAGGGCACGGGGGGGGGGTGCCTTAGCCCCCCCCCCCCGCCCCCCGCCCCTCCCCGTCCCACCGCCCCCCCTAATGGCCAAAGCTACGAGTTGGGGGGGGGGGACGCCCTCCTTACCAACCACCACGAGATTCGATTTCAACACCGGTGTTGAAATAACGACAACATATTTAAAACACGGTTTCAATGTATCGTTTCATGAGAATGCCTTCATTATTTGCGTTACACGTTTTTTTTTATTTTAAATGCATTTTAATCGGAGCAGCAACGTCAATATTGCGAAGAGCTAAATATGAATGTGTCGTTAAACCCGTCACCACCCGACACTGCCAATTAGTCAAGGTGTGTCACGCGAACAGAACATGCCAATTCGTTACTAAAACAATTCGTTACTGGTACAATTCGTTACTGTACTAGTAACGAATTGGCATGTTTTGTTTCCGTGACAAACCTTACTAATTGGCTGCATCGGCTGGTGGCGGGTTAACCGACACATTTTTTTATTTACCCGATCTAACCTCCCAAAAATTAACCCGTAAAAACAAAGTTTTTCACTATAAATCCTTTATATGCGTGGCGGCTAGAGTCCTCTCGTCCTCTGGCTTGAGATGGCTGCCACCTACGGGTCAGATGATTGCCTGCCACCATTAAGCAATTGGTAATGAAATATAATTTATTTTTCCTAAAAAGTGTAAAATTTTGGAAAACATTTTTTCACGAAAATCAATTGCCACGCACAACGAGTCTGTGTGCAAAATGTCAGCTCGATTGGATCACGGGAAGTGGGTTAAAAAACGACCGAAAGATTTGCACGGTCCTAAGCAAGCAAGCAAGCAAGTGAACTTAATATAAAGGATTTTTAAAAAACCCTGTATTGTGGAGGACACTGGTCGTGAAAGCCGACTACGTGTTGACCTGAAGATCTGACTAAGGAACACAGCGGATCAGTGGCGGCTGCATTGTGCGAAGACGGAGAGCGCCATCCCCCAACACCAGGGGTCCTCAAACTACGGCCCGCGGGCCACATGCGGCCCGCCGAGGACATTTATCCGGCCCGCCGGGTGTTTTTGCCGCCGCTGCCTGTCACTTTTTTTCTGCATGAGAAGGACGGTCATTGGTGGAAGAGAGAGAGAGGGGGCGGAGTTCTCCCCAATCAGACTGCATTGATGGACAGTGCAGTCTGTATGTCTCTGTGTGGGCAAAGTTATTACTGGTATATTGTTTTTGTAGCGCTGTATATATATTGGTATTTTACTAATATCAATTTTGACTCCCTAGGAAACAATGATGTCAAGAAAGAGAAAAATTGACTCGGAGTGTAGGATATTCAAAGAACAGTGGACTTATGATTACTTTTTCATGCAGTACAAGGAAAGAGCTGTGTGTCTGATATGCCAGAATATAGTGTCTGTGTTCAAAGAATACAATTTACGTCAACACTATAAAACTCAACATAAAGATAAATATGCTTGTTTGGTCGGAGAAGTGAGAAAAGATAAAATATTAAAACTGAAAAATACATTAACAACTCAGCGAAATAGTTTTGTGAAGCAGAAGCAGCTAAATATTTCATCACTGCGAGCAAGTTTTCAAGTTTCCAAGCTAATAGCATGCACTGGCAGACCATTCGTGGATGGAGAATTTGTTAAAGAATGCCTTCTTTCTGTTGCCAAAGAGATGTGTCCAGAGAAGGCCGATTTATTTAGTACAGTGAGTCTTTTAGGACCTACAATTACACGGAGGATTGAAGAAATGGGAGACAATTTGCATCAGCATTTGCAAAACTCCACAAAAAAACTTTCCTATTTTTCCTTGGCACTCGACGAAAGCAATGATGTTCGTGATTCTGCACAACTTCAAATTTTTATTCGTGCGACGAATGACTATTTCGAAGTCACAGAAGAGCTTGCTGCACTGCAAAGCATCAAAGGAACAACTACAGGAGAGGATATCTTTCGATTTAAAGCTTTCGTGACTGCAGGGATTCATCTTCTTGGTTCTTTCGGTAAAGTCACATAGAAGGGAAGTAATAAAATAATTCTCACGACGTTTCGGCCACAACGCAAGCAGCCGTCCTCAGGTGAAAACCAGGTCTGTTGGGGAGACAGCGTCTGAATGAAACAGCACACGAGCTTGGAGCATATATAAGCTGGGTTGGAAGCGGGGGAAAGAGCGCCTTGACAAAATAATTTCAATATCAAGAGGAATTTAGCATATTTATGGGAAATGCAGGAATGTGATTAGTACTACATATGCCCGTGCTGCATATGTAGTACTAATAACATTCCTGCATGTCCCATAAATATGCTAAATTCCTCTTGATATGCAAATTATTTGTCAAGGCGCTCTTTCCCCCGTTTCCAACCCAGCTTATATATATGCTCCAAGCTCGTGTGCTGTTTCATTCAGACGCTGTCTCCCCGACAGACCTGGCTTTCACCTGAGGACGGCTGCTTGCGTTGTGGCCGAAACGTCGTGAGAATTATTTTATTATGTTTTATTTTTATAATTTTATCACTTCCCTTCTACGTGACTTTACCGAAAGAACCAAGAAGAGAGGATATCTATGAAAAGGTTTGCCAAACTGTGAATGGTTTGGAGCTGAACTGGGCTAAACTAGCCAGTGTGACAACTGATGGTGCTCCTAACATGGTGGGGTCTAAGAAAGGAGTAATTGCTCGCATTAACCAAGAGATGGACAAACATAACCATTCTCATCCAATAGCCATACACTGCCTCATCCACCAACAAGCGCTGTGTAGTAAATCACTGAAGTGGGACTCGGTTATGAAATTTGTGGTATCTTGTGTTAACTTCATTAGAGCTCATGCACTAAACCACAGACAATTTCAAGCATTTCTGTCTGAGCTAAATGTTGACTATGAAGATGTTCTGTATCACACAGAAGTCCGTTGGCTGAGTCGAGGGAGAGTTTTGAAACGTTTCTATGACTTACTTCCGCAGATTACAGCTTTTCTGCTTTAAAAAAACAAAGAAGTACCAGAGCTCAATGATGCAGAATGGAAATGGCACCTTGCCTTTCTGACAGATGTAACAGAGCTACTCAACAGTTTCAATGTGCAACTTCAAGGAAAGGGGAAGCTCATCTGTGATATGCAATCACATGTCAAAGCATTTGAAGTAATATTAGGCCTCCTCATCAAACAAGTGAAGGAGGAAAACTTCTGCCATCTCCCCACAACTCAAAATCTGTTAGCGGAAAAACCATTGGTTGCATTCTCAAACAAAACGTGTGGATTCACTGGAAAAATTGCAAAAGGAGTTCCAATTTGGATTTAAAGAGCTTCATCTCCATGAACAGGACATACAGCTTTTCCGTAACCCATTTTCTATTGACATTGAAAATGTGGATACAATTTACCAAATGGAACTGGCTGAACTGCAGAATTGTGACTCTCTGAAAGACGCATTCAAGTCAAGCAGCCTTCATAATTTCTATGCATCTCTCCCCTCTGAGACATATCCTCATCTCAGGAACCATGCACTCAAAATGGCAACCATCTTTGGCAGCACTTATGTCTGTGAACAGACTTTTTCCAGAATGAAACATTTGAAATCTCCAACCAGATCTAGACTAATGGATGCACACTTGCATCACTTGTTACGACTAGCAGTGACAAATATGGAACCGGACATTGACCATCTCATTAGCCAAAAGCAGGCCCATAGTTCCCATTGAAATACTGGCAAGTTTGTTGATTTAACTTTACTTGTTCTTCATTTTAAATATTGTATTTATTCCCGTTTTGTTTCTTCACTTCAAAATAAGATATATGCAGTGTGCATAGGAATTTGTTCATAGTTTTTTTTAAACTATAGTCCGGCCCTCCAACGGTCTGAGGGACAGTGAACTGGCCCCCTGTTTAAAAAGTTTGAGGACCCCTGCCCAACAGCGTCAAATGCTCGAGACCGGGAGCGTCAACGACGCGATGCCGATCAGGGCAAAGATTGAATCAGCGACATCTAAGAATAACCTCCTGGGTGCGACCGTGTGGAGAGACAAATAAAATAATCACACAGCTCCGATTTAAAGCTTTCGTGACTGCAGGGATTCATCTTCTTGGTTCTTTCGGTAAAGTCACGTAGAATGGAAATAATAGAATAATAAAAATAAAACATAATAATTCTCACGACGTTTCGGCCACAACGCAAGCAGCCGTCCTCAGGTGAAGAACAGGTCTGTCGAGAAGACAGCGTCTGAATGACACACCCCAGGCTTCGTCGTGAGAATTATTTCATTATGTAAAATTTTATTATTTTATTATTTCCATTCTACGTGACTTTACCGAAAGAACCAAGAAGATCAATCACACAGCTATCAACCCCTCATCAGTACCCTACCTCATTACAGACAAATTAAGACCATATTGGTCACCCCGTGCCCCTTATAAAATCTCAACGTTCATCCTACAAACTCCCATCGCAACGGCGATACGCAAACAGACACATTTTCTTTTTTACCGTATTTAAACGGCTGTACGCCATATGGACCTGAAAACTCAATTTCCGCCGTACAAGAATACGGGGTAAACCGTATGGGTTGACAGGTATGTAGTCTTCTTGGTTCTTTCGATAAAGTCACTTAGAATGGAAATAATAAAAATAATAAAAATAAAACATAATAAAATAATTCTCACGACGTTTCGGCCACAACGCAAGCAGCCGTCCTCAGGTGAAGAACAGGTCTGTGTTTGTTGTTGATTTTCGTTTGTTGTTTGTTGGGCGATTGTTGATCTGTTGTTGTTGTGTTTGTTGTTGTTTGTTGTTGCGTGTTGTTGTTGTTTGTTGTCGTTGTTTGTTTGTTGCTGTGTGGCCAGGGCGACCATGTCTTCCTGGACGTGGAGAATCCCGGGGAGTTTGCGGTCCCCACCGGAGCCGTTGTCAAACTCTCCGACTCCGGCAAAGTTCTGCTGCTGGATGACGAAGGGACCGTGAGTGTCGTGTCCGTCTGCCCGAATCATTGCCGTCTGCGTGTCCGTCTGCTTGTCTGTCTGTGTGTCTGCTTGTCTTCCTGTCTGTTTATCTTCCGAATTTTCCAATCTGTTTGCCGAGTCTGCTTGTCTGTTTGCCTCCCTGTCTGTCTGCTGTTGGGTCTGTCTCCATTCTTGATTGGTGTCGTCTCCATCCGTCCGTCCATCTATGTGTCCTGTTTGTCGTTGTCTCTGTCTATCTGTCAGTAGCCCCGTGTGTGTTGTCATTCTGTTTCTCTACTTTCCTATCTGTGTGTCTGTTCCTTGATTGTCTATCTCTGTGGTTCTGACTGCCTCCTTGTCTGTCTGTATCGATGTCTATTTCTGTGTGTTGTTGAATCCGGGCAGTATGCTGGTAGTGGTGATGGTATGCTTGCTGATGAGCTGTGTGTGGTAGAAGCCGGGCAGTATGCTGGTAGTGGTGATGGTGTGCTTGCTGATGAGCTGTGTGTGGTAGAAGCCGGGAAGTATGCTGGTAGTGGTGATGGTGTGCTTGCTGATGAGCTGTGTGTGGTAGAAGCCGGGCAGTATGCTGGTAGTGGTGATGGTGTGCTTGCTGATGAGCTGTGTGTGGTAGAAGCCGGGAAGTATGCTGGTAGTGGTGATGGTGTGCTTGCTGATGAGCTGTGTGTGGTAGAAGCCGGGAAGTATGCTGGTAGTGGTGATGGTGTGCTTGCTGATGAGCTGTGTGTGGTAGAAGCCGGGAAGTATGCTGGTAGTGGTGATGGTGTGCTTGCTGATGAGCTGTGTGTGGTAGAAGCCGGCAGTATGCTGGTAGTGGTGATGGTGTGCTTGCTGATGAGCTGTGTGTGGTAGAAGTCGGCAGTTTGCTGGTAGTGGTGATGGTGGGCTTGCTGATGAGCTGTGTGTGGTAGAAGCCGGGCAGTTTGCTGGTAGTGGTGATGGTGTGCTTGCTGATGAGCTGTGTGTGGTAGAAGCCGGGCAGTATGCTGGTAGTAGTGATGGTGTGCTTGCTGATGAGCTGTGTGTGGTAGAAGTCGGCAGTTTGCTGGTAGTGGTGATGGTGTGCTTGCTGATGAGCTGTGTGTGGTAGAAGCCGGGAAGTATGCTGGTAGTGGTGATGGTGTGCTTGCTGATGAGCTGTGTGTGGTAGAAGCCGGCAGTATGCTGGTAGTGGTGATGGTGTGCTTGCTGATGAGCTGTGTGTGGTAGAAGTCGGCAGTTTGCTGGTAGTGGTGATGGTGGGCTTGCTGATGAGCTGTGTGTGGTAGAAGCCGGGCAGTTTGCTGGTAGTGGTGATGGTGTGCTTGCTGATGAGCTGTGTGTGGTAGAAGCCGGGCAGTATGCTGGTAGTAGTGATGGTGTGCTTGCTGATGAGCTGTGTGTGGTAGAAGTCGGCAGTTTGCTGGTAGTGGTGATGGTGTGCTTGCTGATGAGCTGTGTGTGGTAGAAGCCGGGCAGTTTGCTGGTAGTGGTGATGGTGTGCTTGCTGATGAGCTGTGTGTGGTAGAAGCCGGGCAGTTTGCTGGTAGTGGTGATTGTGTGCTTGCTGATGAGCTGTGTGTGGTAGAAGCCGGCCAGTATGCTGGTAGTGGTGATGGTGTGCTTGCTGATGAGCTGTGTGTGGTAGAAGCCGTGTAGTTTGCTGGTAGTGGTGATGGTGTGCTTGCTGATGAGCTGTGTGTGGTAGAAGCCGGCCAGTATGCTGGTAGTGGTGATGGTGGGCTTGCTGATGAGCTGTTTGTGGTAGAATCCGGGCAGTATGCTGGTAGTGGTGATGGTGTGCTTGCTGATGAGCTGTGTGTGGTAGAAGCCGGCCAGTATGCTGGTAGTGGTGATGGTGTGCTTGCTGATGAGCTGTGTGTGGTAGAAGTCGGCAGTTTGCTTGTAGTGGTGATGGTGTGCTTGCTGATGAGCTGTGTGTGGTAGAAGTCGGCAGTTTGCTTGTAGTGGTGATGGTGTGCTTGCTGATGAGCTGTGTGTGGTAGAAGCCGGGTAGTTTGCTGGTAGTGGTGATGGTGTGCTTGCTGATGAGCTGTGTGTGGTAGAAGCCGGGTAGTTTGCTGGTAGTGGTGATGGTGTGCTTGCTGATGAGCTGTGTGTGGTAGAAGTCGGCAGTATGCTGGTAGTGGTGATGGTGTGCTTGCTGATGAGCTGTGTGTGGTAGAAGCCGGGTAGTTTGCTGGTAGTGGTGATGGTGTGCTTGCTGATGAGCTGTGTGTGGTAGAATCCGGGCAGTATGCTGGTAGTGGTGATGGTGTGCTTGCTGATGAGCTGTGTGTTGTAGAAGCCGGGCAGTTTGCCGATCGGCTGTTTGCACGCCACTCGTCGCACCCGCTCCATTTCGGCACCGAAGATCTCCCTTGTAGGCTGTCAACACCGTCACCACCGTCACCACTGTCACCACCCTCACCACCATCACCACCGTTACCACCGTCACCATCGTCACCACCGTCACCACCGTCACCACTGTCACAACCGTCACCGCCGTCACCACCGTCACCGCCGTCACCACCGTCACTGCTGTCGCCACCGTCACCACCGTCACCACCGTCACCACTGTCACCACCGTCACCACCGTCACCGCCGTCACCACCGTCACGACCATCACCACCATCACCACCGTCACGACCGTCACCACCGTCACCACCGTCACCACCGTCACCGCCGTCACCACCGTCACGACCATCACCACCATCACCACCGTCACGACCGTCACCACCGTCACCACCGTCACCACCGTCACCGCCGTCGCCACCGTCACCACCGTCACCACCGTCACCACCGTCACCACCGTCACCACCGTCACCGCCGTCACCACCGTCACGACCATCACCACCATCACCATCGTCACGACCGTCACCACCGTCACCACCGTCACCACCGTCACCGCCGTCACCACCGTCACCGCCGTCACCACCGTCACTGCTGTCGCCACCGTCACCACCGTCACCGCCGTCACCACCGTCACGACCATCACCACCATCACCACCGTCACGACCGTCACCACCGTCACCACCGTCACCACCGTCACCGCCGTCACCACCGTCACGACCATCACCACCATCACCACCGTCACGACCGTCACCACCGTCACCACCGTCACCACCGTCACTGCTGTCGCCACCGTCACCACCGTCACCACCGTCACCACTGTCACCACCGTCACCACCGTCACCGCCGTCACCACCGTCACGACCATCACCACCATCACCATCGTCACGACCGTCACCACCGTCACCACCGTCACCACCGTCACCGCCGTCACCACCGTCACCGCCGTCACCACCGTCACTGCTGTCGCCACCGTCACCACCGTTACCACCGTCACCACCATCACCACCATCACCACCGTCACCACCATCACCACCGTCACCGCCGTCACCACCGTCACGACCATCACCACCATCACCACCGTCACGACCGTCACCACCGTCACCACCGTCACCACCGTCACCGCTGTCGTTAACGTCGTCGTGTCGATGCTGTCACCGCTGTGGCCGCGTCCCCAATGTGCTGCAGGAGCATTGGGTGACTCCGGCCAACGAGAGCCTCATCCGGCTGATGCACCCGACGTCAGTGACGGGCGTGGAGGACATGATCCGCCTGGGGGACCTGCACGAGGCGGGAATTCTTCGCAACCTGCTCACGCGATACCGGGAGGACCTCATATACGTGGGTGCACACAGCGTACACTGAGCGTACACGCACGCACGTACGCGCGCTCTGTGTGTGTAGAGAGGGTCTAATGTACGTGTGTACACCCATACGCACTAAGCGTGTGAACGCACATACACACGCACTCAGTGTACGTGCGCGTATGTGTGTACATACAAACTAAGACAAAGTTCCCCCGTATAGCCTTAACAGACCGTTGGGGCAAGTGCTGTTAGTAAGCACCTATGGCACACGAGGGGGTGGGTGGCCAGCCCCACGCCCGGCCGCCTTTGTCTCCCAAGTGTACACACATTCACACACGCACACTGTTTCTAATTGTGGAGGGAGAAACTGGAGGACCCGGGGAAAAATAGCACACGACCACGTGGAGCGAGAAAGAGACGCGCAAATTCCAAATATACAGCACCAGGCGTCAGGGTCGGGAACCAACCCACGACCTCCTGCATACCAGGCGAGGTTGGTAACATCTCTTAACCACCGTGATGATGATGAGAGAGACACGCAAACTCCAAATATACAGCAGCAGGCATCAGGGTCATGATCGAACCCACGACCTCCTGCATACCAGGCGAGGTAGTTAACATCACGCCACCGTGCCCATAGCTCCCAGTGCCATTCCCGTGACAACACCCGCTGTCGCTGTGGGGCGCGCGTGCAGACGTACACGGGCTCCATCCTGGTCGCCGTGAACCCCTACAAGACGCTGAACGTCTACTCGCCCGAGGCGATCCAGCAGTACCGTGGGCGCAAGGTGGGCGAGCTGCCGCCACACATCTTCGCGCTCGCCGACAACGCCCACTTCAACATGCGGCGCAACGAGCGCAACCAGTGCTGCATCATCAGGTGAGAGGGTGGGCAGTCACGTGGCAAGGGGTGGGGGGTGGGGGGGGGCAATCCGATGAGCTGTGAAGCTCTTTTGGGGGCTGTAAGTATGAGGTTTGTGACGTTGGAGCATTTGTCGATGAGACCTCGATCCAGATGGTGATGAAATCTAGATCCAGATGGTGATGAGACCTCGATCCAGATGGTGATGAAATCTAGATCCAGATGGTGATGAGACCTCGATCCAGATGGTGCTGAGGACTTGATCCAGATAGTGATGAGATCTTGATCCAGATGGTGATGAGACTTATATCCAGATATGGTAACGAGATCTAGATCCAGATTGTGATCAGACTCAGATCCAGATGGTCATGAGACCTGGATGGCCATCAGATCTTGGAGATCTTAAGACCTTATGAAGATCAGATGTTGAATGTTTTTTACAAAGGAAGAAATGAAGAAAGCAACGGCGAGGGTGGGACGCGATCTCAATGGCATTTTGACCTCTCGGCTCCTGACCCTGCCCTGCCCACAGCGGGGAGTCCGGCGCTGGCAAGACGGAGAGCACCAAGCTCATCCTGCAGTTCCTGGCGGCCGTGAGCGGTCAGCACTCCTGGGTGGAACAGCAGATCCTGGAGGCGAACCCCATCCTCGAAGGTGCGCAGCTCCAGAGCCGAACGCGCCCGTCGGTTCCTCGTGGACCGTGTCGTGTCGTCATTCACGTTTTTTGCACTGCGGGCTCTCGCGCTTAAGTGATTCAGTGAAGCGGGCGAATTCTTAGAGAGTGGCGAGAAAAGAGTGTGACGGAGGGCCCCCCGGGTAACATACATGAACTCGGATCCGAGTGAACGTGAGCTAGGTCAGGGGGCCGGCAACCTGCCGCCTCCGGTGACGCACGCGACTCTTTGTGGACTGCTTCGTGAACGCGTAAATATATAAATGTGTCGTTAAACCCGCCACCACCCGGCACAGGCAACTAGTAAGGGTCGTCACGTAAACAGAACGTGGCCAATTCGTCACTAGTACAGCACGCCGCTGTGTTGGAGAGCCAAGCCACAACTTTTACAGTCTGTTATGGATGATTATTGGTCAGGAAAGCCTACGTGTTAAACTGCTTCGTGAACGTAATGTATGGACGTAGGTAAGTAAGAACATTTGATATTGCACACTCTTATGAGTCCAGTCCATCACGGATGCGCACTGATCACACGTTGAAGTAGGCTCTCTGAAACAACAACAACGACAACAACTCAGGGATAGACCCCTCGAACGTGAGCTGGTAGCGTGTTCCAGGTCTTTGGGCCGGAGACCCCGAACACTGTGCTGGCCGTATCGCACACGAGGTTCACACGCTGCCGCCATGATTAATACCGGCGGGTGGCGTAATAACCGCGACAATCATTCCACGCGTCGTCACCACCGCCTCATTTTTAAATCTTTTATATTAAGTTGACTTGCTTGTTTGGTTGTGCGCTTACGACCGTGCACATCTTTCTGTCGTTTTTTAACCCACTTCCCGTGATCCAATCGAGCTGACATTTTCCACACAGACTCGTTGTGCGTGACAATTAATTTTCGTGAAAATTTTTTTCCAAGGTTTTACACTTTTTAGGAAAAAAAAAATTATTATATTTAATTACCAATTGCTTAATGGTGGCAGGCAATCATCTGACCCATAGGTGGCAGCCATCTCAAGCCAGAGGACGAGAGGACTCTAGCCACCACGCATATAAAGGATTTATAGTGAAAAACTTTGTTTTTACTGGTTATACTTATTTTCACGCTTTTATATAACTCGCTCTGTCTGTTCTATAATCAACTCTGTCTGTTGACGTATCCTCAAATCTTGTAACTCAATTTTAACCCACTTCCCAATGTGGTATCGACTGCTAACTTGTTATACGTATGTCATCCTGATGACAATACTATATTATATCATTGAAAATTTTTACACACATCCCATCCGCTCATGTAGTGTCATCTCGCCAACCGTCTTGTACCGTGGTTAGTTCACCGTACAGAGCCTTGGCTAAGGCGCTATATGAACGTACGATACGATAATAATAATAATGATGATAATAAGAAAATGATAACCACGTGCCGCCTGCTGTGCCGCAGCCTTCGGCAACGCCAAGACGATCCGGAACGACAACTCGAGCCGCTTCGGGAAGTACGTGGAGATTCACTTCAACGAGAAAAGCGTCATCGAGGGAGCACGCATCGAGCAGTACCTCCTGGAGAAGACGCGCGTGTGTGGGCAGGTACCCATCGCCGTCAGTGTCATCATCAATATCGTTGTCGTCAACGTGGTCGTCATCGTCACCATCATTGTCATCATGATCATCATCAGACAATTTTTTCATACCGAAGGAATCCGATGAGATGTAAAGCTATTTTTTTCCACAGATGTCCAGTGAATGGATGGAGACAGGCAGATATAGGGCCCCCTCATTTCATACCTAGCACCAGGGCCCAGGTCCAACCGTGCTACTCCTACCCAAAAAAACCCCTCTACTTTGTATCCGACAGTGGAGGCTTGTAATATTTCCACGAGGTGGGGCTGTTGTGAGTGACCTCTGAAAAGATGGTCGTGCTATTGGCCTTCCCGCGACAGTGATACAACTGTCTTATCTAACAACGGCAGGCATCGTCTTGGTTCTTTCGGTAAAGTCACGTAGAAGGGAAATAATAAAATAATAAAAAATAAAACATAATAAAATACAATTCTCACGACGCTTCGGCCACAACGCAAGCAGCCGTCCCTCAGGTGAAGAACAGGGCTGTCGGAAAGACAGCGTCTGAATGAACCTACGAATGAACCAACGGCAGGCATTTATAAACAATACTAAACACAGCAACAAAGCACTCAAATGCTGTCCCCGTGACGCTCAAGTCCACACGACACAACCCCATAGACACCGCCAAAAGCTTGATTATTTGGTTCTTTCGGTTAAGTCACGTCTAAAGATAAAATAATAAATTAAAATTAAATAATAGCATACGACGTTTCGATTGCAACACAAGCAATCATCATCAGGTATAATGAAATAGCGACATAAAATCTAACCAGAAAACTATAGACAGACATATTAGCAGACAGATATCACCAAGATACATAGAGGGAGCAACACAGGTACAGAGAGGGGTGATCGTCTCTGTGGGGTGGCCTTAAATAGACAGAGGGGGGAGGAGGCAGAGAGAGGGAGGGGGTTGGAGAAAACATTTGCATATCAATGAGTGGTCCAAAAAACAAGGTTCTGCAAGTGCGATGACACGGCAAGCAAGTCTGAAAATCAGAAGGACAAACTAAAATTCAATAACCTAGCAAAATATAATGTAATACAACACAGAGGGTCGGTCAACACACAATTAACGCATAGCCTAAAATTAAGACCGCCAAAAGCCTCGAGGACAATTAAAAATCAGCTGACACGACTCTAGAAATCAGCCACGGCAACCAAGGCACCGCATCCTGCACAATAACAGCCACACGCCGTCGTAAACCCGCCTACACAACAAGCTTTCGTTGATCTGTGTTCACTGGCGACATGAATACAATGCGCACAGGCCGACTTTTTTTACTCCACTTTTCACGAGCGCTCGTTTTGTTTTGTGGTTACTGTTTGTCTAGTGACATTATTCGAATACTGTCCGATGCTATCCGAACAATGTCGTTGAGGCACACAGTGACCACATTATTCGGATACTGTCACAAAAAAAAAAGCCGGCTGATAATTATTGGCTGATAGGATCGCAGAGCTCGGGCAATTGTTGTCACCGGCTCATCCTGGACCCTCTGGGTCATCCTCTCTCTCTCTGAGTCGTCCTCTGTCCGAATAAAGTCGTTGTCACTCAGCGGTTGGGGGGGGAGGAGGGGGTTGGTGGGGGTGCGGCACTTTCTCCGACTCCCACCCTTTTATATTTCCCCACGCAACAACGCAGGCCGAGCAGGAGCGCAACTACCACATCTTCTACTGCCTACTGCTCGGCTCGAGTGACGAACAAAAGAAGAGACTGGGCCTCGGGAAGCCGGCGGACTACGCCTTCCTCACCACGGTGACCTCCGGCGCCTGGGACTTTTTGCCGACACGTTGCCGCGGATAAGCAGGGGGGGGAAGGGGGGGCAGCCTTAAGTAACGCGCTTGACGATGACGACCTTGATCCAGATAGTGATGATACCTCGATCCAGATGGTTAAGAGACCTCGATCCAGATGGTGATGAGATCTCGATCCAGAGGGTGATGAGGACTCGATCCAGATGGCGATGAGATCTAGATCCAGATGGTGATGAGGACTCGATCCAGATGGCGATGAGATCTAGATCCAGATGGTGATGAGACCTCGATCCAGATGGTGATGAGACCTCGATACAGATGGTGATGAGACCTCGATCCAGATGGTGATGAGACCTCGATCCAGATGGTGATGAGATCTAGATCCAGATGGTGATGAGGACTCGATCCAGATGGCGATGAAATATAGATCTAGATGGTGATGAGACCTTGATCCAGATGGTGATGAGATCTAGATCCAGATGGTGATGAGACCTTGATCCAGATGGTGATGAGATCTCGATCCAGATGTCGATGAGACCTCGATCCAGATGGCGATGAGACCTCGATTCAGATGGTGATGAGATCTCGATCCAGATAGTGATGAGATCTAGATCCAGATGGTGATGAGACCTCGATCCAGATGGTTAAGAGACCTCGATCCAGATGGTGATGAGGACTTTATCCAGATGGTGATGAGATCTAGATCCAGATGGTGATGAGGACTTGATCCAGATGGTGATGAGGACTTGATCCATATGGTGATGAGACCTCGATCCAGATGGTGATGAGACCTCGATCCAAATGGTGATGAGATCTAGATCCAGATGGTGATGAGGACTTGATCCAGATGGTGATGAGATCTAGATCCAGATGGTGATGAGACCTCGATCCAGATGGTGATGAGATCTAGATCCAGATGGTGATGAGATCTAGATCCAGATGGTGATGAGATCTAGATTCAGATGGTGATGAGATCTAGATCCAGATGGTGATGAGATCTAGATCCAGATGGTGATAAGACCTCGATCCAGATGGTGATGAGATCTAGATCCAGATGGTGTTGAGAACTCGATCTAGATGGTGTTGAGACCTCGATCCATATGGTCATGAGACCTCGATCCAGATGGTCATGAGACCTCGATCCAGATGGTGATGAGACCTCGATCCAGATGGTGATGAGACCTCGATCCAGATGTCGATGAGACCTCGATCCAGATGGTGATGAGACCTCGATCCAGATGGTCATGAGACCTCGATCCGGCATGTATGTTGGACTTCTACCGCGCCGTGCGTGGTCGACTGTGCGGCTGCGAGGGTTGGTGGATTGACGCAGCACAGGAACTCCCTTCCCGTGGGTAGGCGTCGAGGAGGAGGATGAGCCACAACCCTGGCGCTGCCAGGAGGCAAGGATGTGGACTCCACCTGTTCCACCTGTGGAGGATAGAGCGTTTCCCCCTCGCACACGTGTGGGCTGTCTCCGGACGCTCTGGTTTTTGTCCCGCGTGTGAACGCTCATCATTGTTCCACGTTAAATTTATTTAGGGTTGTACATAGCCAACCGTGCTAATCGATGGTGACAAAATAAACACGAAAAAGCCGGCCTGATAAATTGGCTGATGGCACCTTAATATATATTGAGGACCGCTGAGTTTGGCCAATTGTCACCGGCTCATCGCGTGGGTGACTTTCTGATCATCAGTGGTTCCTTCTCTTGGAGCCTCTGGGTCGTCATCTCTCTCTCTGAGTCGTCCACTCTCTCTCTGAGTGGTCCTCTCTATCTCTGAGTCGTCCTCTTTTTCTGAGTCGTTCTCTCTCTCTGAGTTGTCCCCTCTCTCTCTGAGTAGTCCTCTCTCTCTCTGAGTCGTCCTCTCTCTTTCTGAGTCGTCCTCTCTCTCTGAGTCGTCCTCTCTCTCTCTAAGTTGTCCCCTCTCTTTCTGAGTCGTCCTCTCTCTCTCTGAGTTGTCCCCTTTCTCTCTGAGTAGTCCTCTCTCTCTCTGAGTAGTCCTCTCTCTCTCTGAGTTGTCCCCTCTCTCTCTGAGTAGTCCTCTCTCTCTCTGAGTCGTCCATTCTCTCTGAGTTGTCCTCTCTCTCTCTGAGTCGTCCCCTCTCTCTCTCTCTCTCCGTCGTCCCCTCTCTCTCTGAGTCGTCCTGTCTCTCTGAGTTGTCCTCTCTCTCTCTCTGAGTCGTCCTCTCTCTCTCTCTGAGTCGTCCTCTCTCTCTCTGAGTCGTTCTCTCTCTCTGAGTCGTCCTTTCTTTCTCTGAGTCGTCCCCTCTCTTTCTGAGTCGTCCTATCTCTCTCTGAGTCGTCCTCTCTCTCTCTCTTAGGTGTCCTCTCTCTCTCTCTGAGTCGTCCTCTCTCTCTCTGAGTCGTCCTCTCTCTCTGAGTTGTCCTCTCTCTCTGAGTTGTCCTCTCTCTCTCTGAGTCGTCCTCTCTCTCTAAGTTGTCCTCTCTCTCTCTGAGTCGTCCTCTCTCTCTGAGTTGTCCCCTCTCTCTCTGAGTAGTCCTTTCTCTCTCTGAGTCGTCCTCTCTCTCTGAGTTGTCCTCTCTCTCTCCGTCGTCCCCTCTCTCTCTGAGTCATCCTCTCTCTCTGAGTTGTCCTCTCTCTCTCCGTCGTCCCCTCTCTCTCTGAGTCATCCTCTCTCTCTGAGTTGTCCTCTTTCTCCCTGAGTCGCCCTCTCTCTCTCTGAGTCGTCCTCCCTCTCTCTCAAATCGTCCTGTCTCTCTCTCTCTCTCTCTTCGCGTGCCACCAAAACAAAAATAAATCAAACAAAAAGAAACATTGTCAGCCGACGGATATTTATATTTCTTTTCTTCCCCCGTGCCGTGACCGTCGCCGCAGGGCAACTGCACGCGCTGCGACGGGCGCGACGACCTCAAGGATTTCGCGAGCATCCGCTCCGCGATGAAGGTGCTCGCCTTCTCCGAGACCGAGTACCTGGACATCTCCAAGATGCTGGCGAGCATCCTGCACCTGGGGAACCTCAAGCTGCAAGGTGCGGGCGAGCAATCGCCATGGCGGCGGGTATACAGGAGGTCGGGGGTTCAACCCCTACCCTGACGATGCCTGCTGCTGTACATTTGGAGTTTGCGTGTCTCTCTCTCATCATCATCACGGTGGCTGGGAGATGTTAACGACCTCGCCTGGTATACAGGAGGTTGTGGTTTCGATCCCAACCCTGACGACGCCTGCTGCTGTATATTTGGAGTTTGCGTGTCTCTCTCTCATCATCATCATCACGGTGGCTGGGAGATGTTAACGACCTCGTCTGGTATACAGGAAGTTGTGGTTTCGATCCCGAGCCTGACGACGCCTGCTGCTGTATATTTGGAGTTTGCGTGTCTCTCTCATCATCATCACGGTGGCTAGGAGATGTTAACCACCTCGCCTGGTATACAGGCGGTTGTGGTTTACATCCGAACCCTGACGATACCTGCTGCTGTATATTTGTAGTTTGTGTGTCTCTCTCTCTCTCTCCCCGTGGTCGAGTGGATTTTTCTCCGGTTTTCCCCTCCACATTTAGAATTAACGTCACACGCGTTGAGAGTATTTGGCTGGTATACAACTTCCACGTGATGATGATGATGATGAGCCCAATTCGTTGAACTATCATTTGTGATAGACAGGTCGCTTCTGATAAAGAGCCGTATGGCTCTGTGAGGCCTCACCTCGTAAAATAAAAATAGTTTCCAATGAGTTTCACTTCAAATAATTTCGTGACTGCAGGAATTAATATTCTTTGGGTCTTTCGGTAAAGTCGCGTAGATAGGTTCAAAGAAATTAACAAAAAACTACGACGTTTAGATCACAACACAAGTGATCGTTATCAGATTGTTGTTGTGATTGAAACGTCGTAATTTTTGGTATTTTCTTTGAACCTATCTACGCGACTTTACTGAAAGACCTAAAGAATAGAGTTTCACTTCATCCTAATAAAAGTAGCAAGATCATTAACAGAGTTCAACGGCTCTGACCGCCGTTTACGGAATAGCTCAGTGGGCCCTATCTCGTAAAATTAAACAAATCATATGGCATAGATAAGTGTTTTTTTTACCTACTGCAGCCTTGCACCCCTTTGGTTCTCAATCGTTAAAAATATATAATGTTAATAGGCACATAGGTTTGATTAAACAAATAAGTTGTATCTTCTTAGTTCTTTCGGTAAAGTCACGTAGAATGGAAATAATAAAATAATAAAAATACAACATAATAAAATAATATAATAAAAAAATATAATAAAATATTATTTTATTATTTCCCTTCTACATGACTTTACCGAAAGAACCAAGAAGATGAATCCCTGCAGTCACGAAAGCTTTCAATCGAAAAATCAGTTGTACACACGTGCCCGTGCTTAATTTATATTTTAGATAATTTGCCTTCTAAAATAACCTGGCCATGTCCCGCACCCCCGCAAAGGGCACCTCGCACCCCCAGTGGGCACGTGATGCACCCCAGGTTCAGAAGACGAACCGCTGGTTTAGATGCTGCTGCCGGCGGCAGTAACGGCGCTCCCGTAAGCCGTTCGAGCTCGCGCAGCGGTTAGCGCCATGCGCTCTTCTGAACCCAGAGACCCGAGTGGCGATTCCCACTAACGGCCACCAAAACACCAGTTCCTGGGCCTTCCCCCTAGGTCGACTCAGCCTTAAACGAGTAGGCGGTAGTGTCAAATGTGTAAGCATCGCCACTGGGGAAGGCCACGCAAACCGCGATGTCCGCGCGGCCGCGGCGGCGGCCTTCGTAGGTGCCGGCTCGCTCACTGGGCCCTTGCGCTGACCAGTCTGCTGAAGGCGATGTGATGGACCTTTGCCTCTGTGACCCCGACAGGCACGGTGAGCAGCAACATCGAGTGCTGCGAAATTCTCACCAACGACCACCTGACCTGGGCCTCCAAGCTTCTCGAGGTGACTTCAAGCAACTCCCCCAAATCCACCGCCGATGCGTTCACGGCAAGGCCGTAATTATAATATATATTGGGGAGGGGGGACACAGCCCCCCTCCCCAATATTCAAATATGCTCAAAATGCCCCCCTCCCAATATATTGCTATATAAAAAAATGGCTATGCTATGTAAATAAAAACAACTATTTGCTGAACCTTGGCCACATTATCTGGACTTGTCTTCATATAACAATGCATAGATTTCTCTTCATATGATTGTGGTTATGGTTGTACTTTATTAATCCCTAATCTCTGCAATTACATACAATGAAACAAGAAATGGTAAAAAAAAGTAAAAACAGAGCAATGTAATACAATACACTATTAGACATTATTGTAAAAAATAAATAAAAAGTCCATCCCATGTGTTAGTGAATTTTTTAATATTTTAGGCAGGAAATGAGTTTTCAAATTTAGATATTTTTTTGGGCTGGGACACCCTGGCCACCCACCCCCTCGTGTGCCGTGCCGGCCTTCATAGGCGCTACTCGCTAACAGCACTTGCCCCGACAGTCCGTTAAGGCTACACGGGGGGCGGGCTGGGGATCTTTGTCTTTGTTTGATTGTGACGTCGGTCGGCACGCCGCGTGTCTCTCTCCGACCGTTCACCGAGCGCGACGTCATCGGCGCCGGTTACCCCCGGCACGGCACGGTTTTGCCCGGTGGAAAAAAGTAACCCGTAAAATCAAAGTTTTTCACTATAAATCCTTTATATGCGTGGCATCGGTTTTATTTTATTATTCATTTCTGTTTTTCTTGAGTAAGAGTTTCATTTTTATCACATTGGTATTTTAAATTTAATATGAAAATTTTTTTTCCCTAACAAGTGAAACATTTTGGAAAAAAATTTCACGAAAATAAATTGTCACGCACAACGAGTCTGTGTGCAAAATGTCAGCTCGATTGGATCACGGGAAGTGGGTTAAAAAACGACCGAAAGATTTGCACGGTCGTAAGCAAGCGCGCAAGCAATTGAACTTAATATAAAGGATTTAAAAAGATGTTGTGAGTGGTGGTGGGTGGGTGGGGTGGGGGTTGAGTGAGAGGGGAGGAGTTTTACTCAGCCGTGGTCCGCTGCAGGTGGATGAGGCCGAGGTTCAAGAGTGCCTCACCAAGAAGGTGATGCTGATGCGTGGGGAGAAGGTGACGACGCTGCTCAGCATGGCGCAGACTCAGGAGGTCCGGAACGCCTTCGTGAAGGTAAGGGGACGTGACGTCCATAAATGACGTCACGCACCTAGGGGGGGGAGGGGGGTCAGACGTTTGTGACGATGTGTGACGAGGGGGGGGGGGGTTGAGAAATGTGACGTCACGTCAAAATGCGCAACTTTAAATAAATATAGACAACACGTTCTGATTAATTAAATAGACTTTTTAATGTTTTCTCCTGCAACATCAGAGTGCAGCGCCACATTAACAATAGTTTAAAGCGATTTGAAGCATGTTTTATTTTTTTTTGGGGGGGGGGCAGAGCTTTGTGACGTCATATTTGAGGGGGGGTCTGACTTTTTGTGACGCCGTGTGACAAAGGTGGGGGGGTCAAAAATCGTACAAAACAGCGTGACATCATTTATGGATGGCCCCTAATTTATGAAGATAAAAAAACCCGAAACGATGAAAACGATTTACTTTTTATTTTACCCAGCTGAGGACGCCGCTGAGTTACGTGGATCTTTTTTTAATCTTTCAGAAGCGACTTGGCCATTTAAAATGATAGCTCAACGCAGTGAATTATCATCATTATCATCATGTAGACATTTTATAGGCGAGGGCAAACACTCTGAACGCGTGACGTTGAGTCTAAACGTGGAGGGGAAAACCGGAGGACCCGGAGAAAAATCCACGCGACCACTGCGAGAGAGAAACTCAAAATACAATTACGCAGCAGGCATTGAGATCGAACCCACGATCTCCTGCATACCAGGCGAGGTAGTTAACATCTCCTAGCCACCGTTGTTGCTATAATTAACCCGCCTGTACCCACTCAGCAGTATCAATGGGTGCACCACCACGGCTAGTCGCTCGGCAGGTCTCGTGCGGTGAGATACAATGTGGGTCCTTCAACATCTAGAATTGAACGTCTGGCCAGCCTGCATAACTAGGCCAAAGTTCACTCCAAATAACCCATGAACCGCACGGCATTCTGGGAGTGCTGCATTTTTTGCAACATTGATTCAAGGCAAGCAAAATCTCCACCGATTAGACATTCAGTGCCTCATCAGCAGAGCAAGGCTTTGCTTGAATCAATGCTGGCGGAACTGCCAAATCGTACCAGGCAAGGACTGGTTTCAACACTCAGTGTCTCACCAGCAGTGTTTGGCTTTACTTGAATCAATGCCGACAAGACTGCCAAATCGTACCAGGCAAGACTGGTTTCAAAGCTCTGTGTCTCATCAGCAGTGCCGGGCTTTACTTGGGTCCTGATTCAGCGCGACGTGGCATAGCAACGCCAACTCGTGAAATGCATCATCTCATCCCATCGGGAGGAACGAACCTTTCATTTTCTTTCTTACGTGGAAAGAAGGGGAGAGAGAGAGAAAGACGTGGATACGGGAAGGCAACTGATCGCTCCGCTTCGTTCATCTCGTTATTTAATTCGTTCCGCTCCACCGCGACCGTTCGGGCAGTCATTTCAAAACGCCTCTCTCTCTCTCCCAGGAAGCCCTCCTTCGTTCACAGGATCGAGCCGAACAAAGCTGCCGGATCCGCGCCCGCTGCTGCCGCGCCCTTTCACTCCTGGCCACTTGCCCCAACCCCTTGTCGCAGGCGATCTACGGCAAGATGTTCGTGTGGATCGTGGACAAGATGAACTCCATCGTGTACAAGCCGCCCTCTCGCGGCGGCGGCGAGCAGGAGGAGGAGCGACGCTCCATCGGCCTCCTCGACATCTTCGGCTTCGAGAACTTCCAGACGAACAGGTGTGTGTGTGTGTGTCCCACCCTCCCCTCCGCATGTCCATCTCGTCCCTCCGCGGGTCATCATCTCGTTCATTTGTACACTCATTTAGTCAGGCAGTCAGTCGGTCATCCACCCACCCACTCACTTACACACTCACTCACCCACTCACTCACCCACTCACTCACTCACCCACTCACCCACTCACTCGCTCGTCAAAAATGAGACTCCTATCCCGGGTCTCCTGAGTTCTCAGCCGGTTACACAGAATTAACTTGGAATTCATGAACTCATTCTTTCATTATCTCATTCATTTAGCCACTCACTCACCCACCCACCCAAAGACTCACCCACCCACCGAACCACTCACCAACCCACTCACTTACCCACCCAACCAAACACTCACCAACCCACTCAACCACTCACCCACCCACCCAACCACTCCCCCACCCACTCACGCACCCACCCAACCACTCACCAACCCACCCAACTACTCACCCACCCAACCACTCACCCACCCACTCATTCACCCACCCACCCCTATCCTTGTCTCTTGAGTTCTCCCCCGGCTACACAGAATCAACTTGTAACTCTTCAACTCATTCATTCATCATCTCATTCATTTATTCACTCACCCACCCACTCACCCACCCCTATCTTGGTCTCTTGAGTTCTCACCCGTGTCTCCTCGTCCTCCTCCCCCCCCCCGGTACCACCTCGTCGCAGCTTCGAGCAGTTCTGCATCAACCTGGCCAACGAGGCGCTGCAGCAGTTCTTCGTGGGACACATCTTCAAGCTGGAGCAGGAGGAGTACGAGCGAGAGTCCATCTCGTGGAAGAACATCACCTTCACGGACAACCAGGAGGCCCTCGACATGATCTCCAGCCGCCCGCTCAACCTCATCGCGCTCATCGACGAGGAGAGCAAATTCCCGCAGGTTCGAACCGCGACCGACGCCACTGCTGCTCGTTTTAAACCTCGTGGATAGATGGCTTGAGCCTCGCTCCCCACCCCCGCACAAGGTAAGGCTCCACTCAGCTATGTGCACAGCCTCTCCTTCAGAAGCGAACGCGGCTACCACAAATGATTGGGCCGCTTATCATCGTCGTCGTCATCGTCGTCATTGTCGTCATCAACGTCATCGTCGTCATCGTCATCGTCGTCATCATCATCGTCGTCTTCGTCCTCGTCATCAACGTCATCGTAGTCATCATCGTCGTCGTCTTCGTCGTCGTCATCAACGTCATCGTAGTCATCATCGTCGTCATCGTCGTCGTCGTCGTCATCGTCGTCGTCGTCATCGTCATCGTCGTCGTCGTCATCGTCATCATGGTCGTCATCGTCGTCATCATCGTCGTCATCGTCATCGTCGTCATCGTCATCATCATCATCATCGTCATCATCATCGTCATGGTCGTCATTGTCATCGTCGTCATCGTCGTCGTCATCGTCGTCATGGTCGTCATCGTCATCGTCATCATAGTCGTCATTGTCATCGTCGTCATCATCGTCGTCGTCGGCGCGGAAATTCACAACGGCAGCCAAATGCTCGAAACGCGTGACGTCGATTCGAAACGGGGAGGAAAACAATCGACGCGTCCACTGGGGGGTGCGGGGGAAACGTGACCGCTCCAATTATATAGAGGAGGCATTGAGCGAGATCGAATGCACAACCTCCTATATACCAGGCGAGGTAGGCAACATCTCCTCGCCACTGTGGCGCCCAGGAGGTCTGCCGAGGGCCGATGGATCGCAGCGCCCGGAGGGATATTCGCAACGGCCCATTGCTGGCTTGGATGACTGCGACTACGGGGACTCCACTACTTACGAACATTCTACTTACGAACTTTCATAGATACGGACAAACCTGGGCCGTATGTCCACGTTCTGTAGTGACATCTACAGAAGGTAAATAACTTGTGGCATCTACGTCTGCAGAACGCGAAGAACCAGTCGCATCTACGTCTACAGAACAAGAAGAACCAGTGGGATCTACGTCTAAAGAAAACATGAAGAACCAGTGGCATCTACGTCTACAGAACATGAAGAACCAGTGGCATCTACATCTGCAGAACGTGAAGAACCAGTGGCATCTACATCTGCAGAGCGTGAAGAACCAGTGGCATCTACATCTACAGAACATGAAGAACAAGTGGCATCTACGTCTACAGAACGTGAAAAACCAGTGGCATCTACATCTGCAGAACGTGAAGAAGAACCAGTGGCATCTACATCTACAGGAGATGATACAACTTTTAAAGCCATTCCCCGTGTTTAGTGTACACGCTGTACAACATGTTTGTAATCGACGGGAGTAAAGGTTCCAGAGGTACTGTACGTAAGTCGATTCGTTCGTGAGTAAAGTTGGACTTACGAACGAATCGACTTACGAACAGTACCTCTGGAACCTATCTCATTCGTGAGTAGATGAGTCCCCGTTCTCCTATGACTACGACACGAAATGATGCCCCCCCCCCACTTCCTCTTACCTCCGCAGGGCACGGACGCCACGATGCTCGCCAAGTTGACGGCGCAGCACAAGAAGAACGCCCACTTCATCCCACCCCGGAGCAACCACAGCACGCGCTTCGGGATCTCGCACTTCGCCGGGGACGTCTTCTACGAGAGCTCGGGTGAGCGCGCGTGAGTCGGGGTGAGCGTGTGTGAGTCGGGGTGAGCGTGTGTGCGTCAGGGTGAGCGTGCGTGCGTCAGGGTGAGCGCGCGTGCATCGGGGTGAGCGTGTGTGAGTCGGGGTGAGCGTGTGTGAGTCGGGGTGAGCGCGCGTGCATCGGGGTGAGCGCGCGTGCGTCGGGGTGAGCGTGTGTGAGTCGGGGTGAGCGTGCGTGAGTCGGGGTGAGCGTGTGTGAGTCGGGGTGAGCGTGCGTGAGTCGGGGTGAGCACGCGTGCGTCGGGGTGAGCGCGTGTGAGTTTGGGGTGAGCGTGCGTGAGTCGGGGTGAGCGTGCGTGCGTTGGCTGGGTCAACGGTTGGCTACGTACGGTGCGAAAGAAGTTCAACATCCATACAGCTTTTTTTCGATTTAAAGCTTTCGTGACTGCAGGGATTCATCTTCTTGGTTCTTTCGGTAAAGTCAACTAGAAGGGAAATAATAAAATAATAAAAATAAAACATAATAAAATAATTCTCACGACGTTTTGGCCACAGACGCTGTCTTTCCGACAGGCCTGTACTTCGCCTGAGGACGGCTGCTTGCATTGTGGCCGAAACGTCGTGATAATTGTTTTATTATTTCCCTTCTACGTGACTTTACCGAAAGAACCAAGAAGATGAATCCATACAGCTCCCATGACTGCGGCCACCCGAACCAAACAATGAAACCTGAACCAGACAATGGTCGATGTCGCTTGTCCCCCCCCCCTACCCCCCCCCCCCCCCCTCTCGCTCAGGGTTCCTGGAGAAGAACCGCGACTCCCTGATCCCCGACATCCTCGCGCTGGTGCAGTCCTCGAAGAACTCTTTCCTCACGCGCATCTTTGCCAGCGACCTCAACACCGTGCGTGCACCGCACACCACACCACACCGCACCACACCGCACCACACACTGCACCGCACCGCAACCTGCACCGCACCGCACACCGCACCACACCGCACACCGAGCCACACCGCACACTGCACGGCACCACACCACACCGCACCACACCGCTCCGCACCACACCGCACCCCACACCACACCGCTCTGCACCACACCACACCACACCACACCGCACCACACCGCACCGCACCACACCACACCACACCGCACCACACACCGCACACCACACCACACCACACCGCACCACACCACACACCGCACCACACACCGCACACCACACCACACCACACCGCACCACACCACACCACACCGCACCACACACCGCACACCACACCACACCGCACCACACCACACACCGCACACCACACCACACCACACCGCACCACACCACACCACACCGCACCACACACCACATACCGCACCGCACCGCACCACACCGCACCACACCGCACCACACCGCACCGCACCACACCACACCACACCACACCGCACCACACCACACTACACCCCACTACACACCGCACACCACACCACACCACACCGCACCACACCACACCGCACCACACACCGCACACCACACCACACCACACCGCACCACACACCGCACACCACACCACACCACACCACACACCGCACACCACACCACACCGCACCGCACCACACCACACCACACCGCACCACACCACACCACACCGCACCGCACCACACCGCACCGCACCACACACCGCACACCACACCACACCACACCGCACACCAAACCGCACCACACACCGCACACCACACCACACCACACCGCACCACACACCGCACCACACCACACCGCACACCACACCGCACCACACACCACACACCACACCACACCGCACCACACACCGCACACCACACCACACCACACCACACCGCACCACACACCGCACACCACACCGCACACCACACCACACCACACCGCACCACACCGCACCACACCGCACACCACACCACACCACACCGCACCACACCGCACCACACACCGCACACCACACCGCACCACACCAAACCACACCACACCGCACCACACCGCACCACACACCGCACACCACACCACACCGCACCACACCACACCACACCGCACCGCACCACACCACACCGCACCACACACCGCACACCACACCACACCGCACACCACACCACACCACACCGCACCACACCGCACCACACACCGCACACCACACCACACCACACCACACCGCACCACACACCGCACACCACACCACACCGCACACCACACCACACCGCACCACACCACACCACACCGCACACCACACCACACCACACCGCACCACACCGCACCGCTCCCCGACAGTGGGCTCGCGTGGTCAGCGCTGATTGCGAGCGCAGAGATAAAGCCGCTGCTACTGCTTCTGCTGCTCCTACTGCTGCTGCTGCTGCTGCTACTGCTGCTGCTGCTCCTACTGCTGCTGCTGCTGCTGCTCCTGCTGCTGTTGCTGTTCATACTGCTGCTGCTCCTACTGCTGCTGCTGGTGGTGGTTAACGCTGCTGCTACTGCTCCTGCTGCTCCTGCTGCTGCTGCTGCTGCTCCTACTGCTGTTGCTGTTCATACTGCTGCTGCTCCTACTGCTGCTGCTGGTGGTGGTTAACGCTGCTGCTACTGCTCCTGCTGCTGCTGCTCCTGCTGCTGCTGCTGCTGCTACTGCTGCTGCTGCTCCCACTGCTGCTCCTCCTCATGCTACTGCTGGTTAATGTTGCTGCTGCTGCTTCCACCGATGCTGCCCCCACCGCCGCTGTCGCTGCAGGACAAGGGCTCGATTCCGTTCCACAAGCGCGCCGGCGACTCGGTGAGGGTGCACGGCACCCTGACGCACCGGCGCCCCACCACGCTCAGCGGGCAGTTCCGCAAGTCGCTGGAGGAGCTCATGAAGGCGCTGGGCCTGTGCCAGCCGTGGTTCATCCGCTGCATCAAACCCAACGACGTCAAGAAGCCCCTGGTGCGCCGCCGATGCTTGCCTATGCCGCCGTTCCGGCTGCGTCGACGGTTGCCGGCACCGCCGTTCCGGCGAGATCGACGGTTGCCGGCACCGCCGTTCCGGCGAGATTGACGGTTGCCGGCACTGCTGTTCCGGCGAGATCGACGGTTGCCGGCACTGCTGTTCCGGCGAGATCGACGGTTGCCGGCACCGCCGTTCCGGCGAGATTGACGGTTGCCGGCACCGCCGTTCCGGCGAGATCGACGGTTGCCGGCACTGCTGTTCCGGCGAGATCGACGGTTGCCGGCACCGCCGTTCCGGCGAGATTGACGGTTGCCGGCACCGCCGTTCCGGCGAGATTGACGGTTGCCGGCACTGCTGTTCCGGCGAGATCGACGGTTGCCGGCACCGCCGTTCCGGCGAGATTGACGGTTGCCGGCACCGCCGTTCCGGCGAGATCGACGGTTGCCGGCACTGCTGTTCCGGCGAGATCGACGGTTGCCGGCACCGCCGTTCCGGCGAGATTGACGGTTGCCGGCACCGCCGTTCCGGCGAGATTGACGGTTGCCGGCACTGCTGTTCCGGCGAGATCGACGGTTGCCGGCACTGCTGTTCCGGCGAGATCGACGGTTGCCGGCACCGCCGTTCCGGCGAGATTGACGGTTGCCGGCACCGCCGTTCCGGCGAGATCGACGGTTGCCGGCACTGCTGTTCCGGCGAGATCGACGGTTGCCTACGCCGCCGTTCCGGTGACGTCGACGGTTGCCGGCACTGCTGTTCCGGCGAGATCGACGGTTGCCGGCACCGCTGTTCCGGTTCCGTTGACGCTGCCAGTACCGCTGTTCCAGCTCCGTCGACAGTTGCCGGCACTGCCATTCCGGCAACGTCGACGGTTGCCGGCACGGCTGTACCGGCGCCGCAGTCTAAATTTTCTCCCGACCGGGCATCACTCAACCCGCTCGTGCTTTATTATTATTATCATCTTTTAAATCTAGGTTGAACACTCATTTCTTTTCGGGCGGCTTTTTGTGTTTACTTTGTTGTCCTAATCCCGCACCTCCGATTAAGAAGCTGATAGTTCAGTGGGCCTTTCCTGGTAAGATACAAATAAATATATTTTTGTGTGATTGATTTCCCTTTCCTATACTTTGCACTCCTGTCGTGTTTATCTATCGCTTGTCGCGGTAACCTTCTGACCCCGTGGCCCCCTTACTTGACATCTGTGAACAAACGAGCTATGAAGCTCATCGTATTCCTCCTCCAGTCTAAGTAAAGATTCTGATTCCGACAACAAATCGGGGGTGCGGGCCAGGGGCAGGAGGTTCGTTCTCCCATCCGCGTGCACCCATCGGCTGCCCCCCCTCTCTATCTGTGCGTCATTCCCCCATCTCCCTCTCTCCGCGCTGTCCCTCACGCCTCCCCCCCTACCGCCCCCCTCACCGCCCCCCCCCCCCTGACCCGACCCCCACAGCTCTTCGACCGGGAGCTGTTCGTGCGCCAGCTGCGCTACTCAGGGATGATGGAGACGATCCGCATCCGGAGGTCGGGATACCCTATCCGTTACACCTTTGCCGAGTTTGTGGAGCGCTATCGCTTCACGCTGCCCGGCTTCCAGCCCAAGGAGGCCCAGGTGCGAACCGACGGCCACCGTCTCCACCTCCCCCCCTCCCCCCCGCCCTCTCCACTTTCTCCCCACCAGGCCGCCAAGAGGCAATAGTAACAGCACAGTACAGGGATTCCTCTACTTATGAACGAGTTAAGTTCCAGAGGTCTATGAGACATCTCCTTTACCAGTGGCAAAATAAAGTAGTAGGTTTTTACCCTTTAAACTGGTACAAAACTGACACCTTTATACAAGGCATCATGTTTGCAATAACCACAAGACAAGCAGTCAAAATGTAAAACAAAAAGAAACAACTCTGATAATGGTAATGATATGCACTGTCCTTGAAGTTGATTGGTCCACACCCGAGACAGCTTTTCTTAGAGCCTAGTCTCACGTGGTGTTGGACCAGATGACGCCAAAAGGCGTACAACTCAAAGACAATGCACTATCAGAGTATTGAGAGCTCGGGGTAAGCATTTACACTATGAGACCTCCTTTACCTGTGGCAAAATATAGTAGTAGGTTTTTACCCTTTAAACTGGTACAAAACTGACACCTTTATACAAGGCATCCAGAGGTCTGTTCATAAGTCGATTTGTTCGTAAGTCGATTTTTTGTCCAACTTTACTCCTGTAGATTCCAAACACGTTGTACGGCGTGTAGAATAAACATGAGGAATTGCTTTCAAAAGTTGTATACTCTCCTGTAGATGTAGATGCCACTGGTTCTTCACGTTTTGTAGATGCCACTGGTTCATCACGTTCTGTAGATGTAGATGCCACTGGTTCTGCTTCATGTTCTGCAGATGTAAATGCCACGTGTTCTTTGTGTTCTGTAGATGTAGATGCCACCACCGCTATCTATTGCGGGGTGGTTGAACGTACGACTCTCGGTCTTGACGGGCAACTGGACATACGGACCAGTATGAAAAATAAGAATGGGTTTTACCCTTTCTGGCAATAAAACAGGAGGTGTTAAGATGTTCAAACACCAAATAGAAACCTTTTGCAAGGAAGCAAGTTCGCACTAACCACACGTACTGGTGATGAACATGCAAACAAACATGCTCTGATAGTATAAAGACAATGCATTATCAGGGCATTTATAGCTTGGGGTGAGCAGCTACAACATAGGATACCTTTTTGGCAGTAATAAACATGCAAATAACGGAACAGGTTTGTTCGTACGTCTGAAAGTTCGTAAGTCAAGACGTGATTCCTTGTAAAAAGATTTCTGTTTGTTGTTTTAACATCTCAACACCTGTTTTACTGCCAAAAAGGGGTAAAACCTATTCTCACATTTTTATACTGGCAATGGAGGTCCCATGATAAATATTTGGTGTTTGAACATCTTAATACCTGCGCCTTTTGGCGTTATCTGGTCCAATACCATGTGAGACTAGGCTCTAAGGAAAGCTGTCTCGGGTGTGGACCAAACAACTTCAAGGACAGTGCATACATTATCAGAGTTATGTTTATTTTTTGCATTATGACTGCATGTATTGTGGTCTATGCAAACATGACTCCTTGTAAAAAAAAAGGTGTCAGTTTTTCTGCCAGATAGAAGGGTAAAAAAACAATTATCATATTTTTTACTGGCAAATGAGGTTCCAATGGTATAAATGCTTACCCCGAGCTCTCATACTCTCATGGTGCATTGTCTTTGAGTTGTGCGCCTTTTGGCGTCATCTGGTCCAACCCATGTGAGACTAGGCTCTAAGGAAAGCTGTCTCGGGTGTGGACAAATCAACTTCAAGGACAGTGCATACATTATCAGAGTTATGTTTTTTGTTTGCATTATGACTGCAGGTATTGTGGTCTATGCAAACATGACTCCTTGTAAAAAAGGTGTCAGTTTTGTTGCCAGATAGAAGGGTAAAAAAACTATTATCATCTTATCACCTGTTTTATTCATACTCTTAGTTCTTTCGGTAAAGTCACGTAGGTAAAAAATGAAATAAAAATGAATAAAAATAAAATAAAAATATTATTTTTATTATATTTTTATTTTATTTTTATTAATTTTTATTTTATTTTTTACCTACGTGACTTTACCGAAAGAACTAAGAGTATGAATCCTTGCAGTCATGAAAGCTTCAAATCTAGAACCTGTTTTATTGCCAGAAAGGGGTAAAACCCATTCTTATTTTTGATAGTGGCAAAAAAATGTCCCATGATATTGCTCATCAGAATCCTCCTCCTGCAGTAGAAATGCGTTTTCTGATTCTCACTTTGTGCTCACGCACCCACTGCCGCCGCTGGCTGCTGCTGCTCGTGGCAGGCGAACCCAATGGGAACGTGCAAGAAGATTCTGGGGGCCACGCTGGGGAAGGACGAGGACTTCCAGATCGGAAAGAACAAGGTCTTCCTCAAGGTTCGGTCCCTTGCCCGCGCGATTCTTTTCAAGCTTTAGCGCCTCCGTTTAGCATTGGTTGGCTACGTACGGTGCGAAAGAAGTCCATTTCGGTCGCGAATTCATCACACGCTTGCGGCACGGTTTCTGTAGACTCGAAGGCGCTGGGGGGGGGGCTAGGGGGGATTTGGGGGGTGGGTGTGGGGGGTGGGTGGTGGGGGGGTGGGTCAGTGAGCAGTGGGTGGGTGGATACAGTGGGTTGGTTCGGTTGGTCGGTGGGCAACGGGTGGGTCTGTCAGTGGGGCGGTGGGTGGGTGGGTGGTAGGTAGGCGGGCGGTGGGTTGGTGGGTGGGCGGTGGGTCGGTGGATCGGTGGGTGGGTCAGTGAGCGGTGGGTGGGTAGAGTGGGTGGGTACAGTGGGTGGGTGGGCGGTGGGTCGGTGGGTCGGTGGGTAGGTCAGTGAGCGGTGGGTGGGTACAGTGGGTGGGTACAGTGGGTGGGTTGGTGGTAGGTGGGTGGGCGGTGGGTCGGTGGGTGGGTCAGTGAGCGGTGGGTGGGTGAGTACAGTGGGTGGGTGGGTGGGCGGTGGGTCGGTGGGTGGGTCAGTGAGTGGTGGGTGGGTGGGTGGGTTGGTGGGTGGGCGGTGGGTCGGTGGGTCAATGGATGGGCGGGGCGGAAGTAGCCGACGAGAATCCTCCGGTACCGGCGCCCGCGTGTGTCCCCTCCCGTTGTCTCGCCTGCCGCCAGGACAATCACGACATGGTGCTGGAGCTGTCCCGGGACAAGAGCATCAACGACAAGGTCACCAAGATCCAGGGCGTGATGCGCGTCTATGTCGCGCGGTGAGGCCAAAGACCCCCCCCCCTACCCTATATAGCCTGTAACAGACTATTGGGGCAAGTGCTGTGTGTAAACACCTATGACGGCTGGAACGGCACACGAGGGGGTGGGTGGCCAGCGTCACGCCCCCCTGCCTTTGTCTCCCCAGTTGCGACGTTTACACACCGCACCAGGTGCTCATTTAAGGCTGAATCGACCTAGGGGAGACCCAGGACCGATGCAGATAATCGGTCATGGGTGTTGGCCATGAGCGGGAATCGTACTTGGGTCACCGGGTTTGTAGCGTGGTATGCTAACCACTACACTGGCGCTCACCACACATTCACACACAGCAGTAGCAACTACAGAAATCATCGCCCCCCCTCCTCCCCTGACTGGAATACTCATGCCCCAGGCCACTCACCACCAGGTTACACAAAATTAAAACCACCATGCGTCCAGGTTGTGCCGGGACCATCCCGGTTTTCGAAAGGCCGTCCCCGGTGTCACAAAGAATTTGTCAAAAGTCTACGGACTTTGTCCCCGTTAAAAAAAACTCATGATGCGGACAGAGGGTGCGGCTACCTGAGGATTGAGTGGAGCTTCCTGAGTAGTGGGCGGGGCTACCTGGGTAGTGGGCGGGGGCTCCCCGAACAGTGGGCGGGGCTACCAAAGTAATGGGCGGGGCTACCAAAGTAATGGGCGGGGCTAGCCGAGTAGTGGGCGGAGCTACCCGAATAGCGGACAGGGCTACCTGAGTAGTGGGTGGGCTACCCGAGTAGTGGGTGGGGCTACCCGATGTATATTACTATTCGTCACCCACCTGGACGGTGAGATTGGAATAGGAGGTGGGCGTCAAAAAAGAGCTTCATAGCTCATCGGAGTTCCCCTGGACGAATAATGACGATGGTCCTCGACTCGCCATGCTATCCGCGTCGCCCGCAGGAAACGCTTCCTGAAGATGAGGGCGGCGTCCGTCATGATCCAGAAGCACTGGCGCGGTTACTCGGAGCGCCGATTCTACCTCACGGTAGGGCTGGGGCTGAGGGGGGGGCTGGGGCTGGGAGGGGGGGCTGGGGGGGGGGTACCACCGCTCACCTGTGCCGGAGGCCGCTACGGACGTAGCCTGCTTGGTTTAACCGCAGGCGACGGCGATACCGCGGTATACGGTGCACGGCGTACCTGCCTCGACTAAGCTATTAAAATAACTTTTTATTGTACCAGGTAAGGCCCACTGGGGTACGTAGCTCAATGAAGTGGCTCACCGTGTGGAACTGTATGGCAGCCACATTCTCTAAATGCGTTACGTTGATTCTAAATGTGGAGGGAAAAACCCGAAGGACCAGGAGAAAAATACACGCGTCCACGTGAAAAACATGCACGCTCTATCTGTGGCAAGGTCGCTATTTAACCCACGACCTGCTGCATACCAAGCGAGGTAATTCACATTTCGCCACTGTGACATCCCTAAATCGATCAGCCACAATCCCCAAGGCATGCAATGAACACAACCGTGACTGCATCGCTCCACACCTCCTGCTTCGCTCGGGTTGGCTACGCACGGTGCGAAAGAGGTTGGACATCCGCACGTTGCTAATGTCGCCAGTTGTAACGTTAAAGGGAAGAGCCTGGTGGCCTGTCAACAGCCTGCTCCACCCATTCCTCCTGACACCCGACCGGTGGAATTGAACTCGTGAGTTCCTCCGTCGCTCTAACCGAAACCCGTCGCCCCGCGTCTCCCTCCTCCCACTCAGATCAAGCTGGGCCTGGCCCGGCTGCAAGCGGTAGTGCAGAGCCGCAAGCTGGTGCTGCAGTTCTCCCGCACGCGCCGCGCCGCCGTCGTCATCCAGGCTCACGCGCGCGGCCTCATCGCTCGCCGGCGCTACCGGCTCCATAAAACCCAGGTGAGGGGCTGGGAAGGCCCAGCCGCCTAGCCGCCACCCCCCCCCCTCCCCCCCCCCAGGGGACGACCGGCCAGCGGGCCTATGCCAGGCTTCTCCCTTCGCAGGCCCCGGCGGCGACAAGTTGCGAGCGTTTTCAGCAGAAGAGATGCGTACCCAGCCGGGTACGGGTAGGGTACGGGTATCGGGTACCTGATTGCGACCTCTGGGATGAAGCCATGTTGCAGGCGCGGGTGGGTTGATTCTAGGAACTTGAATTGTGAGAAGAGACAAGACGTTGGGAAATGAGTGACAAACGGTGACTCACCAGTGACTCACGGCCTACCCGTGACCGGCCGCACCAGGGTCGCAAACGGGTACCCGTACTCGTACCCGGCCGGGTACAGGTAGCCGGGTATCGGGTAGGGTACGGGTATCGGGTACCCGGTTACGACCTCTGACCGTCGCTGGCTCTGAACTGTGAATGTGGCCAACGTTGCGGTGCAGGGTCTGCCCATGGTCCAGGAGGAATTCAAGGAGGACATGGACCTGGACAGGAACGAAGACAAAATGCTGGACGAGATCTTCGGATTCTTGGGACTCACCGCCATGGAGGTGCCGTTGCAAGCTCGCTCGCACGCTCACTCACACACAGAGACGGAGATGACTTCCCCTATAGACCGTGTAGCTTGCAAGGGGCAAGCGCTGTTAGGATAATAGCAAACCTACGAAGGCCGGCAGGGCGCACGTAGGGGGGGTGGGTGGCCAGCACCACGCCCGGCCGCCTTTGTCTCCCCAGTGACGGTGTTTACTACACACCGCGCAAGGTACTTATTTGAGGCTGGGTCGACCCAGGGGAGACCCCGTGACCGGTTCAGATAATCGTCACCGGTGCGTTGGCCGTGAGCGGGATTCGAACTTGGGTCGCCGTGTTTGTAGCGCAGCTCGGTAACCACACTCGCTCGCTCGCTCATTCATTTAAGACTGAGTTTCCACTCGTTTAAGCAACGGCCACCACCACCACCACCCTCTCTCCCCACCGCCACCACCACCACTCTCCCTGCCACCATCACCACCACTCTCTCCTCTCTCCCCACCGCCACCACCACCACCACCACTCTCCCCTCTCTCGCCCCGGCACCACCACTCTCTCTCCCCACCGCCACCACCACCACCACCACTCTCTCCTCTCTCCCCACCGCCACCACCACCACTACTCTCTCCTCTCTCTCCACCGCCACCACCACCACCACTCTCCACTCTCCCCTCTCTCTCCCCGCCACCACCACCACCACCACTCTCTCCTCTCTCCCCACCGCCACCACCACCACCACTCTCTCTCCCTGCCAGCAGCACTCTCCCCTTTCTTTCCCCCGCCACCACCACCACCCCGCCAGGAAATGGACCACGTCGGCATGGACATGACGACGGACTTGGATGAGGACCTGGGGCAACGTGGTGATGACGACGACGACGACGACGAGGAGAAGCGACGCCGCGGCGAGCTCCGGGACTACACCTTCGCCAAGTTCGCCGCAGTCAACTTCCAGGGCAGCTCCACGCACACGCACGAGAGGCGATTGCTGCGGGTGCCGCTGCTCCACCACCAGGACGAGACGGACAGGCGGGTGGGTTCTACACTCCGGGGACTCCTCTGCTTACGAAACAAATCGACTTACGAACTTTCAGAGTCACGTAGAATGGAAATAATAAAATAATAAAAATAAAACATAATTAAATAATTCTCACGACGTTTCGGCCACAACGCAAGCAGCCGTTCTCAGGTGAAGACCAGGTCTGTCGAGAAGACAGACTCTGTCAGACAGACATCGTCTGTTTACCGAAAGAACCAAGAAGATGAATCCCTGCAGTCACGAAAGCTTTAAATCGAAATTTGAACTTTCAGAGGTTACGAGCAAAGCCGGTCCGTGTGTCCAGTTGCCCGTTCGGAAACCGAGAGTCGTAAGTTCATACCGCCGCACAATAGATGGCGGTGATGGCATCTACATCTGCAGAACGTGAAGAACCAGTGGCATCTAGATCTGCAGAACGTGAAGAACTGGTGGCATCTAGATCTGCAGAACGTGAAGAACCAGTGGCATCCTAGATCTGCAGAACGTGAAGAACCAGTGGCATCTAGATCTGCAGAACGTGAAGAACCAGTGGCATCTAGATCTGCAGAACATGAAGAACCGGTGGCATCTACGTCCACAGGAGATTATACAACTTTTAAAGCCAAACCCCGTATTTAGTGTACACGCCGTACAGCGTGTTTGGAATCGACAGGCGTAAATTTGTACTTACGAACAATTCGACCTATGAACAGACCTCTGAAACCGAACTCGTTCGTAAGTAGAGGCGTTACCATATTTATCTAAAATTTCTGCTATAAATGTCCAAATGATGGGCCATTTTGTTGAGCTACGATTTGTGACCAGGTAGCTTTTGAAATGAACATTAATATCTCAGTGGGGCTTTGCCTGGGAGGATGGGGATGGTTTTAGTGTTGTATTTGTGTGTGTTTGGGTGATTGGTTCACCTGTCCTGTACTTCTAATGCTATCGTGTTTTTTTTTTAAATACGTAACCTTTTTTGCCAGTATCAATATGTAGTGGGTTCCACGGAGGCAGACATTTGTACATGGAGGCAACACGTTTATTACACACCCCAACAGGCTAACTACATAAACTACGTACCACTCGGGATAACTGACTACGTGGTAACTACCACGGAGCAAGACCACAACAAGGTCCCTATATAAACGGGTCAGGTCAGTAACGTACTGCCTGACCCATGATGTCGAACGAGCATAGCGGGTTGATTCCAGAAGACAGCCCAGAACGCTCCCGTGACTGCCCCTTTTATCCTCCTGGGCGTGGCCTCGCTCCGCCCTTGGGCACGCCCCCTTCGGGATCTGTTCCAGAAGGTTCTGGGACCTTACATCACCTATCCCTTTGGTCCCTTTCTGGCCCACGCCCTTATCCTATGCAGGCCACGTGCCCTCTTGGGTTCAGGGGTGGGGAACCTTTTTTCTGCCAAGGACCATTTGGATATTTATAACATCATTCGCGGGCCACACAAAATTACATTTATGTTGCTATGAAAAAAGCGCGTAGATTTCTTGAATTTCGAGTCGTGCGGTTGCCTTGGCAGGGCCAGAGTAAGTGATTTCGCGGGCCTTATACGGCCCGCGGGCCAGACGTTCCCCACCCCTGATCCTAGACCGTATGCCATACGTACTCTGGTGACAGAGAGAGGCTCTAAGACGCACAGTTACACTCTTCTCTCAGTAGCGGACGCAACGCCTTAGTGACTCAATATACGTCTCTACAAATATATAAGAATCGGTTTCACCCTTTCTGGCAATAAGACAGGAGGTGTTAAGATGTTAAAACACCAGACTGAAACATTTTTCATACCGTGTGTATGTACCGCATGTGTGTCGTGTGTGTGTACCGTGTGTGTGCACCATGTGTATGCACCGTGTACGTGTGTGTACGTGTGTGTGTACCGTGTGTGTGTATGTACGTGTGTGTGTACCGTGTGTGTGTGTACGTGTGTGTGTACGTGTATGTACCGTGTGTGTGTGTGTATGTACGTGTGTGTATGTACCGTGTGTACATGTGTGTGTGTATGTACGCGTGTGTGTATGTACGTGTGTGTGTGTACGTGTGTGTGTGTGTGTCCCAGGCGAGCGTGGCCGTGTGTGTGTACGTGTGTGTGTGTGTGTACGTGTGTATGTACGTGTGTGTGTGTGTATGTACGTGTGTGTATGTACCGTGTGTGTATGTACGTGTGTGTGTGTGTATGTACCGTGTGTGTATGTACGTGTGTGTGTGCGTGTGTGTGTGTATGTGCCGTGCGTGTGTGTACGTGTGTGTGTATGTACGTGTGTATGTACCGTGTGTGTGTGTGACCCCCAGGCGAGCGTGGCCGTGTGGAGGATGGTGCTGCGCTTCATGGGAGATCTCCCCGAGCCGCAAGCCACGGGGGGTCAGGGGGCGCGTGACCCCAACCGTGACCCCAACCGCGTGTCCATCATCCGCGTCATCTACGAGAGCCTGCAGGTAGCGCACACACACAGCACACACACACCACACACACACAGCACACACTCACCACACACACAACACATACACACAGCACACCACACACACACATACAACCACACACTCACCACACACACAGCACATACACACAGCACACCACACACACACACAACCACACACTCACCACACACACAGCACATACACACACACACACACCACACACACCACACACACAGCACACACACACCACACACACAGCACACCACACACACAGCACACACACCACCCCACACACAGCACACCACACACACAGCACACCATACACACAGCACACCACACACCACAGCACACACACAGCACACACACCCAGCACAGCACACCACACACCACACCACACACACACCACACACACAACACAGCATACACACACCACACACACAGCACACACACACCACACCACACACACAACACACACACACCACACACACACACACCACACCACACACACAGCACACCACACACACCCAGCACAGCATACACACACCACACACACAGCACAGCACACACACAGCACACCACACACACACCACACACACAACCACACGCTCACTAAACACACAGCACATACACACAGCACACACACAACCACACACAGAGCGCACACACACACACCTAACACACACCTAACACGCAAACACCGCACACACACACACACCTAACACACACACACCGCACACACACACCTAAAACACACACACCGCACACACACACACCTAACACATACACACCTAACACACACACCGCACACACACACCTAAAACACACACACCGCACACACACACACACATCGCACACACACACACCTAACACACACACCTAAAACACACACACCGCACACACACACACCCCGCACACACACCTAACACACACACACCACACACACCTAACACACACACACCACACACACACACACACCACACACACCTAACACACACACACCACACACACCTAACACACACACACCACACACACACACACACCACACACACCTAACACACACACACACACCACACACACCTAACACACACACCGCAACACACACCTAAAACACACACACCGCACACACACACACACCTAACACATACACACCTAACACACACACCGCACACACACACCTAAAACACACACACCACACACACCACACCACACACACCTAACACACACACACACACCACACACACCTAACACACACCCCGCAACACACACCTAAAACACACACACCGCACACACACACACACCTAACACATACACACCTAACACACACACGCACACACACACCTAAAACACACACACCGCACACACACACACACCGCACACACACCTAACACACACACACCACACACACCTAACACACACACACCACACCACACACACCACACCACACACACCTAACACACACACACACACACCACACACCTAACACACACACCGCAACACACACCTAAAACACACACACCGCACACACACACACACCTAACACATACACACCTAACACACACACCGCACACACACACCTAAAACACACACACCGCACACACACACACACTGCACACACACACCTAACACACACACACACCACACACACCTAACACACACACACCACACCACACACACCACACCACACACACCTAACACACACACACACACCTAACACACACACCGCAACACACACCTAAAACACACACACCGCACACACACACACACCTAACACATACACACCTAACACACACACCGCACACACACACCTAAAACACACACACCGCACACACACCTAACACACACACACCACACACACCTAACACACATACACCACACCACACACACACACCCCACACACACACACACAACACACACACCTAACACACACCCCACACACACCCACCACACACACACACCACACACACTGCACCGGTGTGGTGGTTCCTCAAGGAGACGATGCTCCACGTGGCTCTGCACAGAACCCGCGCGGAGCGAAGGGGACCGAGTGGCTGGAGGAGGCGCCGCTCAACAACCTCCAGAAGGTCCACTTCATCATCGGCTATGCCATCCTGCGGCCCGCGATCCGGTACGTGTGTATGTGTGTGTGTGTACGTGTGTGTGTGTGTACGTGTGTGTGTACGTGTGTGCGTGTGTGTACGTGTACGTGTGTGTGTGCGTACGTGTGTACCTGTGTGTGTGTGTGTACCTGTGTGTGTGTACGTGTGTGCGTGTGTGTACGTGTACGTGTGTGTGTGCGTACGTGTGTACCTGTGTGTGTGTGTGTACCTGTGTGTGTGTGTGTACCTGTGTGTGTGTGTGTACGTGTGTGTGTGTGTGTACGTGTGTGTGTGTGTACGTGTGTGTGTGCGTACGTGTGTACCTGTGTGTGTGTGTACCTGTGTGTGTGTGTACCTGTGTGTGTGTGTGTACGTGTGTGTGTGTACGTGTGTGTGTGTGTACGTGTGTGTGTGTGTACGTGTGTGTGTGTGTACCTGTGTGTGTGTACGTGTGTGTGTGTACGTGTGTGTGTGTACGTGTGTGTACGTATGCACGTGTGTGTGTACGTGTGTACGTGTGTGTGTGTACGTGTGTGTGTGTACGTGTGTGTGTGTACGCGTGTGTGTGTACGTGTGTGTGTACGTGTGTGCGTGTGTGTGTGTGCGTACGTGTGTACGTGTGTGTACCTGTGTGTGTGCGTGTGTGTGTGTACGTGTGTGTGTGTACGTACGTGTGTGTGTACGTGTGTGTGTGTGTGCACGTGTGTGTGTGTACGTGTGTGTGTGTACGTGTGTGTGTGTACGTGTGTGTGTGTACGTGTGTGTGTACGTGTGTGTGTGTGTACGTGTGTGTGTGTGTACGTGTGTGTGTGTACGTGTGTGTGTGTACGTGTGTACGTGTGTGTGTACGTGTGTGCGTGTGTGTGTGTACGTGTGTGTACGTGTGTGTGTGTACGTGTGTGTGTGTACGTGTGTGTGTGTGTACGTGTGTGTACGTGTGTGTGTGTACGTGTGTGTGTGGGGAGTGGTAGGTGCTCGCTAACAGCACTTGCCCCTACAGTCTGTTAAGGCTATACGGGGGATCTTCATCTTTGTGTGTACGTGTGTGGTGCAGTGGGGAGTGGTGGTGTAGCGGTTAGCGCGCTGCGCTAAGAACCTGGCCACCCGAGTTAGATTCCCGCTCACGGCTAACACCAGTTACGATTATCTGAACCGGTCCTGGGCCTCCCCTAGGTTGACTGGGCCTTAAATTAGTACCTGGCGCGGTGTGTAAACATCGCCACTGGGGAGACAAAGGCGGTCCGGCGTGGTGCTGGCCACCCACCCCCTCGTGTGCCGTGCCGGCCTTCATAGGTGCTCGCTAACAGCACTTGCCCTTAGTCTGTTAAGTCTATACGGGGGATCTTTGTCTGTGTGCTCCCTCACAGCACTTGCCCCGACAGTCTGTTCAGGCTATACCCGGGGGGGATCTTTGTCTTTGTGCTCGCTAACAGCGCTTGCCCGCAAGGCTATACCGGAGTGAATCTTTGTCTTTGGCGTGCGCCAGGGATGAGATCTACTGCCAGATCTGCAAGCAGATCGGCGACAATCTGATCCGCAGCAGCTACGCCCGCGGCTGGATTCTCCTCTCCCTCTGCCTCGGCTGCTTCCCTCCCTCCGACAACTTCAGCAAGGTGCCGCTCACCAACCACCTGAGATGTTTACTCTCTCGCCTGGTGCGCAGGAGGTCGTGGAGTTTGCGTGTCTCTCTCTCTCTCTCTCTCCCCGTGGTCGCGTGGATTTTTCTCCGGGTCTTCTGTTTTTGTTCCCTCCTCTCACGTTTAGAATCGGCGTTGTGCGCGTTTTCCAAATTGTTTGGCTGCTGCTATGAATATCTACGTGGTGATGATTATGCTGATGATTAGGCCACTTCGTTGGGCCATCATTCGTGATGGCATCTCAGTCGGGGCCTTGCCCTGGTAAGATAAAAAAAAAAATTCGACCCGATATAAAAAGAAAATTGTTTGCTACTTTTTTTGTTGTTTCAAGTTGAAGAATGATTCTCACATGCTCTTTGGTTCTTTCGGTAAAGTCACGTAGGTGAAAATAAAATTAAAATAACTAAATCACGACGTTTCGGAGGCAACACAGCAAAAACATTTTTGCTGTGGTTGTCCCACCTGATGACAGAGGCTTGTGTTGCCTCCGAAACGTCGTGAATTAGTTATTTTAATTTTATTTTCACCTACGTGACTTTACCGAAAGAACCAAAGAGTATGGAGCCTTGCAGTCACGAAAACTTAAAATCTAGAATGATTCTCACAAGCGCATTTTTTCTAGCGATTAGAAATGAACTCGAGACTGCGTGGAGCAACATCAGGGCAAGGTGCAGACTGTGGGAGTACCAATCCAGAAAGTAAAATAGTCGATTCCTTGCAAAAAGCTTAATCTATTTGGTGTTCGAACATCTGAACACCTTCTATTCTTAGGTTTTTCGGTAAAGTCACGTAGGTCAACCAGTGTATATACAAGGACTGTTTTCTTGGAATTTCTCTTACTTGATACAGCTATCGTGCTGTGACGGTTCCACCTGAAGACGGAAGCTTGTGTTGCCTCCGAAACGTCGTGATTTTTATTTTATTTTTATTTTACTTTTATTAATTAAATTTTTTACCTACGTGACTTTACCGAAAAAACCTAAGAATATGAATCCTTGCAGTCACGAAAGCTTCAAATCTAGAATCTGAACACCTGTTTTATTGCCAGAAAGGGGTAAAAACCCATTCTTATTTTTCAATTAAAGTCTAGTTTTAGTTTAGACCCCTCTCACCAGATGCTCACCACCCACCTTAAACTGCTGCCAGTGACTCGCCGTGGTCGTTTGTGAATGTCGCGGTCCGTATAAGCATCGTTTTATTTCGGTTTCAAATTGCCCAGAAATCGTCAAGGGGGTAAGTCGTGGGTGGGAAATCAAAAACACATTTTCAGTTGCCTGCACAGCCAGAGAGGACGAAGCCCTCCCATTGGTCACCACGCTCGCCGTCTGAGAGATGGAAAGTGTTTGGTTGACACTCGCCCGTGCCACCGATTAGGCACGGTTGGCTTACGTGCGGTGGAAAAAAAAAACATACGTACAACATACATACAACATACATACTAGACAAAGATTCCCCCGTGTAGCCTTAACAGACTGTCGGGGCAAGTGCTGTTAGCGAGAAGCAGCAACATACGAGGGGGTGGGTGGCCAGCACCACGCCCGACAGCCTTTGTCTCTCCCCAGGTAGTAGTCATTTGAGGCTGAGTCGACCCAGGGAAGGCCCACGACCGGCTGAGATATAGTCGTCATCGGTGTCGGCGGTGGCCGCGAGCGGGAATAGAACTCCGGGGATCGGCTCCGGTGACGATCCGCACGCGGTCCCAGCGACGACGACACGCGCTCGCACAGACACGGTGGAACGCTACCTCTCTCCCCCCCCTGCCCCCCCCTTGCCCCCCTCTGCCCCCCTCTGCCCCGCCTCCCCTCCCTGCCCCCCCGTTCAGTACCTGAGGAGCTTCCTGAGTGAGGGCCCGCCAGGGTACGCGCCGTACTGTGACGCGCGCCTCAAGAGGACTCTGGCCAACGGGTGCCGAACCCAGCCCCCCAGCTGGCTCGAGATGCAGGTGGGTGTCCTCTTCCTTGTACCGCCACCACCACCGCCAGAACCTCCACCACCACCTCCATCACCACCATCTCCACAGACACCACCACCAACACCATAACCACCTCCACCATCACCACCTCCACCATAACCACCTCCACCATCACCACCTCCACCATCACCACCTCCACCATCACCACCTCCACCATAACCACCATCTCCACAGACACCACCAACACCTCCACCAATACCACTACTGCCAGAACCTCCACCATCACCACCTCCACCATCACCACCTCCACCATCACCACCTCCACCATAACCACCATCTCCACAGACACCACCAACACCTCCACCAATACCACTACTGCCAGAACCTCCACCATCACCACCTCCACCATCACCACCTCCACCATCACCACCTCCACCATAACCACCATCTCCACAGACACCACCAACACCTCCACCAATACCACCACCGCCACCACCACCGCCATCACCTCTACCATCACCACCTCCACCATCACCACCTCCACCATCACCACCTCCACCATAACCACCATCTCCACAGACACCACCACCACCTCCACCAATACCACCACCTCCACCATCACCACCTCCACCATCACCACCTCCACCACCTCCACCATCACCACCTCCACAGACACCACCTCCACTAATACCACCACTACCTCCATCACCACCTCGACAGCAACCTCTATCAAACACCTCCATCACCACCACCACCTCCACCATCACCATCTCCATCACCATCTTCATCATCAGCTCCACCACCACCTCCACACCCATTACAATCACTGCTACCACCACCACTATCACACCTCCACTATCACAGCTCCACCTCCATCACCATCTCCCTCATCACCTCCACCACCACATCCACCACCATCACCTCCACAACCACCACCGCGACTATTTACACCGCCACCTCCACAATCCCTCGCTCTTCCTGACTCCCCCAATCTCTCGCTGCCCCCCGACTCCCCCAATCTCTCGCTGCCCCCCGACTCCCCCCGTGGCGGTCCCCTTGCCGCCCCCGTGACCCGGCGCAGGCCACCAAGTCCCGGCGCGTGTCGCCGCTGCCCGTGGGGCTGATGGACGGCCGCACGGTGCCGCTGAGCGCCGACTCGGCGTGCACGGCACGCGAGCTCGTGGCGGCTCTCGCCGGCAAGATCGGCCTGCAGGACGACTTCGGCTTCTCCCTCTTCATCTCCTTCCAGAACAAGGTGACACGGGAGGGGTGACGGGAGGGGCGACGGGAGGGGCGACGGGAGGTTGCGACGGGAGGGGCGACGGGAGGGGCGACGGGAGGGGCGACGGGAGGGGTGACGGGAGGGGTGACGGGAGGGGTGACGGGAGGGGTGACGGGAGGGGTGACGGGTGACGGGCGACGGGTGATAACCGGGTGACGACCGAGTGACGGGGCGAGTGACCCCCGTCGTAACTTTGAACCCAGGGGGTCGGCAACCGGCGGCTCTTTCGAAGGCTGCTTCGTGACAATTATTTATGAAGCATCACCGTCTCGAATTCACGTTGCATTGCGGCTCTTCAAATGTTGTTCACGGAATAAAAAAAAAAGTTGGCTCTTCTATATATGTTGGTTGCCGACCCCTGCTCTAAACCATGACCCCACCGTGACCCTGCCGTGACCCTACCATGACCTTACCGTGACCCTGCCGTGACCCCGCCGTGACCCTGACGTGACCCCACCGTAACCGTGTCGTGACCCTACCATGACCTTACCGTGACCTTGCCGTGACCCCACCATGACCCTGACGTGACCCTACCATCACCTTACCGTGACCCTGCCGTGACCCCACCGTGACCCCGACGCGACCCCACCGTGACCCTGCCGTGACCCCACCGTGACCCTGCCGTGACCCCACCGTGACCCGATCGCGACCGCAGGTGTCGTCGCTGGGCGGGGGCCGGGAGCACGTGCTGGACGCGGTGTCGCAGTGCGAGCAGCTGAGCCGCGAGCAGGCCGGCGGCACCGAGCAGGCCGCCCCCTGGCGCCTCATCTTCCGCAAGGAGCTCTTCGCGCCGTGGCACGACGCCGGCGCCGACGCCGTCGCCACCGAGCTCATCTACCGCCAGGTGGTGCGCGGCCTGCGCTTCGGCGAGTACCGCGCCGACACGGTGAGTCGCTCGCCACAACACGTGGGTGTCACGCCACAACACGCGAGTCGCACGCCACAACACGTGAGACACACGCCACAACACGTGAGACGCACGCCACAACACGTGGGTGTCACGCCACAACACGTGAGACGCACGCCACAACACGTGGGTGTCACGCCACAACACGCGAGACGCACGCCACAACACGTGGGTGTCACGCCACAACACGCGAGACGCACGCCACAACACGCGAGACGCACGCCACAACACGTGAGACGCACGCCACAACACGTGGGTGTCACGCCACAACACGTGAGACGCACGCCACAACACGCGAGACGCACGCCACAACACGTGGGTGTCACGCCACAACACGCGAGACGCACGCCACAACACGCGAGACGCACGCCACAACACGTGGGTGTCACGCCACAACACGCGAGACGCACGCCACAACACGTGAGACGCACGCCACAACACGTGGGTGTCACGCCACAACACGCGAGACGCACGCCACAACACGTGGGTGTCACGCCACAACACGCGAGACGCACGCCACAACACGCGAGACGCACGCCACAACACGTGGGTGTCACGCCACAACACGCGAGACGCACGCCACAACACGCGAGACGCACGCCACAACACGTGGGTGTCACGCCACAACACGTGGGTGTCACGCCACAACACGCGAGACGCTCGCCACAACACGTGGGTGTCACGCCACAACACGCGAGACGCATGCCACAACACGTGGGTGTCACGCCACAACACGCGAGACGCTCGCCACAACACGTGGGTGTCACGCCACAACACGCGAGACGCACGCCACAACACGTGGGTGTCACGCCACAACACGCGAGACGCACGCCACAACACGCGAGACGCACGCCACAACACGTGGGTGTCACGCCACAACACGCGAGTCGCACGCCACAACACGTGGGTGTCACGCCACAACACGCGAGACGCACGCCACAACATGACTTACAGATTTCCGAGGACTGCTGCACAGAACGGTATTTATTTTATTGCCTTGGCAGGGTCGCCACCCGTGACCCCGCCACCCGTCCCGAATTTTTTTTCTGGGACGTCCTCTGTGGTTCATGGGAGGCTTGAGCCGATTTTAGATAAGAGAGCGATAGAGAGAGGGAGCGAGCGAGACGCACAAGTGATAGCGGAGTGATTCCGAATCGGAGGCGCGGCCACACGCGGGATGCCACGTGGTTTACGGGACGCCCGAGCTGAACCAGAGTGAGGGGGCGAGCGAGGGGGCGAGGGAGCGGGCGAGCGAGGGGGCGAGCGAGGGAGGGAGGGGGCGAGCGAGGGAGGGAGGGAGGGGGCGAGCGAGGGAGGGAGGGAGGGGGCGAGGGAGGGAGGGAGGGGGCGAGCGAGGGAGGGAGGGGGCGATCGAGGGGGCGATCGAGGGAGCGAGCGAGTGGGGGAGCGAGCGAGTGGGCGAGCGAGGGAGCGAGGCTCTCTCACCGGGGGCTGACGCTGCACCGTGCGCGGCGTGGCGCGTGCCAGGACTCCGAGCTGGTGCAGCTGGTGGCGTGGCGCTGCTTCGTGCAGCACGGCGCCAGCCCCTCGGCGGCGGACGTTGCTCAGGCGGTGGCCGAGACGGTGCCCGAGCGGGCGCTCACCGCCGCCAAACACCGCTCGGTGTGGGCCGGCGAGGTGGAGGAGGCGCTGAGACAGGTGGGTGTCACGGGGGGGGGGGGGGGTGGGATGGTGAGAGTGTGTGGGTGAGTGTCCGCGTGTGTGCGTGTGTGTGTGTGCGCGTGTACGTGTGTGTGTACATGTGTGTGCGTGTGTGTGTACACGTGTGTGTGCGTGTGTGTGTACACGTGTGTGTACGTGTGTGTGTACATGTGTGTGCGTGTGTATGTGTACGTGTGTGTACATGTGTGTGCGCGTGTGCGCGTGTGTATGTGTACGCGTGTATGTGTACACGTGTGTGTGCGTGTGTATGTGTATATGTGATGTGTGCGTGTGTGCGTGTGTATGTGCGCGCGTGTGTATGTGTATGCGTGTATGTGTATGTGTGCGTGTGTATGTGCGCGCGTGTGTGTACATGTGTGTGCGCGTGTGTGTACACGTGTGTGTGCGTGTGTATGTGCACGCGTGTGTGCGTGTGCGCAGTCTGACTACGCGAAGCAAGGCCTGAGCGCTCTGGCGGTGCAGGAGAAGATGGTCGACTTTGCGCGCGTAAAGTGGCCCGTCCTCTTCTCCCGCTTCTTCGAGGCCTACAAGGTGTCGGGTAAGATCGCTCGGCACCGTTAGGGAGGGCGGCAGCCCCGCGGCCCGAGGGTCAAAGGGTCAAAAGCCGCACGAATTTCTCATCCGGTACGATCGCGGACGGCGCGAGCGCGTCCTCCCGCCGCTCCGATGTTGGGTGCGGCGACAAAACGGGCCGCAGGGCCTCGACTTTGCCGCTGACAACAGGTGACACGGACGCCAAATTTGTAAAACCCGCTTGACCCCCCCCCCACATCTTGCGAGTGCGTCGTTAGTGGCGAGATGTTAACCACCTCGCCTGGTGTGCAGGAGTTCGTGGGTTCGATCCCGACCATGGCGCCTGCTGCTGTATAATTGGAGTTTGTGTGTCTCTCTCGCTCTCCCCGTGGTCGAGTGGATTTTTCTCTGGTTTTCACCTCCACATTTTTAATCAACGTCACACGCGTTGAGAGTATTTGGCTGGTATACAACTTCCACGTGATGATGATGATGATGAGCCAAATTCGTTGAGCTATCATTTGTGATAGCCAAGTCGCTTCTGATAAAGAGCCGTATGGCTCACCTCGTAAAATAAAAATAGTTTCCAATGAGTTTCACTTCAAATCTTGACTTAAATCATTTCGTGACTGCAGGAATTTATATTCTTTGCGTCTTTTGGTAAAGTCTGCGTGTCTCTCTCTCCGTGGTCACGCGGATATTTCTCCGGTCCCCCGGTTTTTCCCTCCACATTTCGAATCGACATCACGCGCTTAGAGTATTTGGCTGCTGTACGTCTTCCACGTGATGATCAGCACGCTTCGTTGAGCTGTCGTTTGTGTTTCCAGGTCACTTCTGAAAAACGAGCCATGTATCTCCTTGGAACCAAGAAGATGAATCCCTGCAGTCACGAAAGCTTTAAATCGAAATATACGAGCCACGTAGTTCACTGGGGGCCTGACCTGGTAAAAAATCAAAACAGTCTTCGCGGTGAAGTTTAAATAGCCAGTGGCAATCCACCCGTTACGCCACGCGGGGGGGTCCCGTCGTCGGCTCGGCTGTCGGCGTGCCAGTGGAACAGGGCGATGCGACCACGAGCACGTGCGTGTGTGACCGCCGTGCGACCGCGTGCGTGTGTGACTGCCGTGCGACCGCGTGCGTGTGTGACCGCCGTGCGTGTGTGACCGCAGTGCGAACGCCGTGCGTGTGTGACCGCCGTGCGAACGCCGTGCGTGTGTGACCGCCGTGCGACCGCGTGCGTGTGTGACCGCCGTGCGAACGCCGTGCGTGTGTGACCGCCGTGCGAACGCCGTGCGTGTGTGACCGCCGTGCGACCGCGTGCGTGTGTGACTGCCGTGCGACCGCGTGCGTGTGTGACCGCCGTGCGTGTGTGACCGCCGTGCGAACGCCGTGCGAACGCCGTGCGTGTGTGACCGCCGTGCGAACGCCGTGCGTGTGTGACCGCCGTGCGACCGCGTGCGTGTGTGACCGCCGTGCGACCGCGTGCGTGTGTGACCGCCGTGCGACCGCGTGCGTGTGTGACCGCCGTGCGACCGCGTGCGTGTGTGCTCCCGGTGGCACGTGGCGGCAGGTCCGAGCGTGCTCAAGAGCGAGCTGATCGCCGCCGTGAGCTCCGTGGGGCTGCATCTGCTGGACGGGGACGAGCACGTCCTCATGCTGCTCACCTTCCCCGAGATCGTCGCCATCACCACCGCCAGCCGGTGCGTGTGCGTGTGTGTGCGTGTGTGTGCGTGTGTGTGCGTGTGTGTGCGTGTGTGTGTGCACCTAGCCTGGCACGAGGTAAGAGATCATCGCCATCACCACCGCCAGCCGGTGCGTGCGCCGCGTGTGTGCGTGTGTGTGCGTGTGTGCGCGTGTGTGCGCGTGTGTGCTTGTGTGTGCGTGTGTGTGCGCGTGTGTGTGCGTGTGTGTGCGCGTGTGCGTGAGTGCGTGTGCGTGTGTGGGGAGCGGTAGTGTAGCGGTTAGCGCTACGCTGCGCTATGAACCTGGCGACCAGGGTTCGATTCCCGCTCACGGCTAACACCAGTGACGATTATCTGAACCGGTCCCGGGCCTCCCCTAGGTCGACTCGGCCTCAAATGAGTACCTGGTGCGGTGTGTAGTCAACATCGCCACTGGGGAGACAAAGGCGGTCGGGCGTGGTGCTGGCCACCCACCCCCTCGTGTACCACAGTGCCGGCCTTCATAGGTGCTCGCTAACAGCACTTGCCCCTGCAGTTTGTTAAGGCTATACGGGGGATCTTTTGTCCTTGTTTAAATGTTAGCGTGTACGTCTATGTGTGGCTCTGTATATGCACGGGAATCGAACTCGGGCACTCCGGGTTCGTAGTGAAGGCACGTTAACCACTATATTCTTGGTTTTTTTCGGTAAAGTCACGTAGGTAAAAAATAAAAATCAAATAAAAATCACAGCACGCTTGCTGTATAAAAGTAAAATAAAAATCACGACGTTTCGGAGGCAACACAAGCTTCCGTCTTCAGGTGGAACCGTCACAGCACAATAGCTGTATCAAGTAAACCAGTATATATACAAGGTCGGGTCTCTTGGAATTTCACTTTACTTGATACAGCAATCGTGCTGTGACGGTTCCACCTGAAGACGGAAGCTTGTGTTGCCTCCGAAACGTCGTGATTTTTATTGTATTTTTATTTTACTTTTATTAATTTTAATTTTTTACACACGTGACTTTACCGACAAAACCTAAGAATATGTTAACCGCTTCGCCACCGCGGCCCCCCAACCCCTATGCCCACGTGAGCGTAGGCGCAAGCTGGCGGGACCCGCCGTGACCATGTCGACGCTGCGGGGGGACGAGATCGTGCTGGCCACGCCGGCGGCCAACGAGTTCAACGACCTCCTCGTCTTGCTCCTGCAGGGCCTCAGGAGCCGATCGCGACACCTCGTGGCGATGCAGGAGAGCCGCGTCATCGGTGCGAGCCGTCGGAGGCTGCCCTGGCTGTCTGTCTGTTGTCTAGACGCTCCCATCAGAGACAGCTCAGTCTGTCTGTTGTCTAGACGCTCCCATCTGTCTGTCTGTTGTCTAGAGACCCCCATCAGAATCAGCTCTGTCTGTCTGTTGTCTAGAGACCTCCATGAGTCTGCCTGTTGTCTAGAGACTCCATCAGAGACAGCTCAGTCTGTCTGTTGTCTAGACACCCATCGGAGACATCTCTGTCTGTCTATTGTCTAGACGCTCCCATCAGAGACAGCTCAGTCTGTCTGTTGTCTAGACACCCCATCAGAGACAGCTCAGTCTGTCTGTTGTCTAGAGACCCCCATCAGAGTCAGTCTGTCTGTTGTCTAGAGACCCCCATCAGAGTCAGCTCAGTCTGTCTGTTGTCTAGAGACCCCCATCAGAGGCAGGTCTGTCTGTCTGTTGTCTAGAGACTCTATCTGTCTATTATATTCATACTGGTAGGAACCTCTTGGTTACACCAGCCCACAGGGGATTATTGTGTCCGTCCTTTCGTCGTGCAGGGAGGGGCTGGGTGGGGAAGGAGGGGCTGGGTGGAGAGGGGAGGGTGGGGAGGGCCTGGGTGGGGAGGGGAGGGTGGGGAGGGGCTGGGTGGGGAGGGTGGGGCTGGGTGGAGAGGGGAGGGTGGGGAGGGGCTGGGTGGGCAGGGTGGGGCTGGGTGGGGAGTGGGTGGGGCTGGGTGGGGAGGGGCTGGTCACCCCGTGGTGCCCTTATAAAACTCAACGTTTAACCTACTCACGCCGGCTTGTGCCCGCCCTCACAGTCGGGCATATTTGTGGAATACACCACGCCGCTGTTGACCCTGGCCATTGACCGAGCAACCCAACGCTCCTACCAGCTCCCTCCGCAGGAATGTGTTTAGATAACAACGCTTTCATGGCATCACTTCCTGCCAAAGGTGAAGTCACGTGGCGTCGGGTGATGCAAATGATCCTGAGCATTGGAAAAAATGTGTCCTTCCCGACACAAAATCCTAAACGTTTGAAACTGAAACTCACCCCCGACTACTACACTCGTGAAACCTGCGTCATCACGGGTGGCGGATACCTGGATACGAACCCAGGATGTATGTGTGCTGAACTTATGTCACACCGTTCGTAGCGAATCCTGTAAATCGGAGATGCGGGGGGGGGGAAGGTCAAACAAACTAAATACGAAAAGCAGTTCTAGATATGAAGCTTTCGTGACTGCAAGGATTCATATTCTTAGGTTTTTTCGGTAAAGTCACGTAGGTAAAAACATTAAAATTAATAAAAGTAAAATAAAAATAAAATAAAAATCACGACGTTTCGGAGGCAACACAAGCTTCCGTCTTCAGGTGGAACCGTCACAGCACGATAGCTGTATCAAGTGAGAGAAATTCCAAGAAACAGTATTTGTATATATACTGGTTGAGGGTGGGAGGAGCCAAGGTAGGCCCTGAATATTATTTTTGTGAGGTTCGGTGCGGCTGAAGCACGCTGTTAGGAATAAGCCTTTGTTGTGTAAACTAGGTGCGGCTGATGTAAAGGTGCGTGCAAATAGGACTGAGCCTTTTGTTATGTAATTTTTTTTTTTTACCTTCGTGACTTTACCGAAAAAACCTAAGAATACCAAAAGCAGTTGCAAAGAAATGGATCTCCGCGTTGCTCTGACCTCTGCGGTTCACCTCTAACCTTTGACCTCCGACCCGCCCGTAGACGGCGACGCGGGCGTGCTCGCGTGCCACAGGGGCGACCTCATCGTGCTGGAGGGCGACAAGACAGCGGGCGAGGCGCTGCCCCAGGGGAGCTGGACGCAGGGCCGCAACGACCGCACGGGACTCACGGGCGAGTTCCTGTCGGACAGCGTCTACGTGCTGCCCGTGCTTGAGAAACCCAGCAAGGCCATCCTGGTACGCGTGGTGGTGTTTCATTCGGACGCTGTCTCCCCGACAGACCTGGTCTTCACCTGAGGACGGCTGCTTGCGTTGTGGCCGAAACGTCGTGAGCATTATTTTCTTATGTTTTATTTTTGTTATTTTATTACTTCCCTTCTACGTGACTTTACCGAAAGAACCAAGAAGATGAATCCCTGCAGTCACGAAAGCTTTAAATCGAAATTTAAATCGAAATTTAGGCACGAGGCGGTCGAGAGTTTTGGTCCACTCGGCCACACCGCACGAGGTCACGGGGGGGTGATGGGAGCTCCTGTTGGGCAGCGTCTACTTGCTGCCCCGTGCTCGATAAACTCAACCCGGCAGACTGGATTCGAAGCTTTCGTGACTGCGGGAATTACTCTTTGGTTCTTTCGGTAAAGTCACGTAGAAAGAAAATGAATTTAATAATAATAGAATACGACGTTTCGATCGCAACACAAGCAACCATCATCAGGTAAGAATGAATGAGAAAACAAACATCGTAAACTTAGAAATATAATGGAATACAACACAGAGAGTCGGCTAACACAACAGTCAACACCCTGCCTGGTTGATTAACGTTCTTCCAAAGATTGCTAAATTTGAGAGAGAGACAAAACACAGACACGGAGACACACAGACTGTTGTGTTAGCCGACTCTCGGTGTTGTATCTGGAGGCCTTCAAGAGAGAGGTGGTGCCTGTGAGTGTCTCATATAAGTCGGTGCAGACTGAACGCTACTGCTGATGATGCTGTGATGAAACTTGGGCTAGTGTGTGAGTGGGTGTGTGGGTATGCGATTGAGTGAGCATTCGGGCGAGTGAGTGTGTTAATTAGTGTGTGAGTGGGTGAGTGAGTGGGTGGGTGAGTGAGTGAGCATTCGGGCGAGTGAGTGTGTTAATTAGTGTATGAGTGGGTGAGTGAGTGGGTGGGTGAGTTAGTGAGCATTGGGGCGAGTGAGTGTGTGAGTGGGTGAGTGAGTGGGTGGGTGAGTGAGTGAGCATTCGGGCGAGTGAGTGTGTTAATTAGTGTGTGAGTGGGTGAGTGAGTGAGTGGGTGAGTTAGTGAGCAATCGGGCGAGTGAGTGTGTTCATGAATGTGTGATTGAGTGGACGAGTGAGTGGGTGGGTGAGTGAGTGATTGGGTGAGTGAATGTGTTAATGAGTGTGTGAGTGAGTTAGTGAGTGGGTGAGTGAGTTAGTGAGTGGGTGAGGGAGTGTGTGAGCGAGCTGCGATAAATTATCCACTGTTTCGGTTGTACGTATGTCCCTCGAACTTTTTTCGCACCATGTGTATCCAACCGTACGCTAATTGGAGGTGCGGGATGATGATGATGTTCGTTGAACTTCTTTCACACCGCGCGTGGCCAACCGTACGCTAATCGGAGGTTTCCCCCCTCTCCGCGCGTCTCCCAGAGCCTTTTCGCAGCAAACCCCGAGGGTCAGCGTCGAGGCTCCACAGTGTCGCAGCAGCCGGAGGATCGCAACGCATTCTACACCCTGGAGCAGTTCGCGCAGGACCACTTCAGGTGCGGCACCGCAGTTACCCACAATGCCCCTTGCACCGTTACCCACAATCCCTGTCGCCCACAGCTCGTGCGAGTGGGTTAGAATGTCACTTTTCTCGGTTGGCCATGGCCTGTTATCAAATTTCACGGCGCGCTCCTGCTATAAAGTTTCAATGCAGCGGCACCAGTAGCGGGGTCTGAACATAGATGCCAGAACCATGAATAACTATGAAAAAAACTACAAACGATTTCTTATTTTATTTTACCAAGTCAGGCCCCCTGAGCTACGTAGCTCTTTTTCAGAAGCGACCTGGCCACAAATGAAAGCTCAACGTAGTGGCTTATCATCGCGTGGAAATGTATAGCAGCCAAACACTCTGAATTCTACGTTGATTCTAAACGTGGGGGGCAAAACCGGAGGACCCAGAGAAAAATCCACGCGACCACGGAGAGAGAGAACTCCAAATATACAGCAGCAGGCGTTGTCAAGGTCGGGATCGAACCCACGACCTCCTGCGTACCAGGCGAGGTAGATAACATCTCGCCCCAACGCATGCACGTGTTACCGTGGGAACCGCGCGTGTCACCGTGGGAACCGCGCGTGTCACCGCGGGAACCGCGCGTGTCACCGTGGGAACCGCGCGTGTCACCGTGGGAACCGGGCGTGTCACCGTGGGAACCGGGCGTGTCACCGTGGGAACTTTATGTGTCACCATGGGAACCGCGCGTGTCACCGTGGGAACTTTATGTGTCACCGTGGGAACTTTATGTGTCACCATGGGAACCGCGCGTGTCACCGTGGGAACTTTATGTGTCACCGTGGGAACCGCGCGTGTCACCGTGGGAACCGGGCGTGTCACCATGGGAACCGCGCGTGTCACCGTGGGAACTTTATGTGTCACCGTGGGAACTTTATGTGTCACCATGGGAACCGGGCGTGTCACTGTGGGAACCGCGCGTGTCACTGGGAACTTCACGTGTCACCGTGGGAACCGCGCGTGTCACTGGGAACTTCACGTGTCACCGTGGGAGCCGCGCGTATCACCGTGGGAACCGCGCGTGTCACCGTGGGAACCGCGCGTGTCACCGTGGGAACCGGGCATGTCACCGTGGCAACCGCGCGTTGTCACCGCCAGGCCGCTGCCGCAGGGCACCGTGAAGCAGGTGGTGGAGGTGCGTGGGCGCCGCAAGGACCGCCTCTGGGCCTGCTCCCGGGAGCCCCTCCTGCAGCCGCTGCTGCACAGCGTCATCGGAGATCACATGGCCAAGGACGCGTGCAACGCCTTCATCGATATCCCTCGGCCCCGCGGAGACTTGGCCCCCCCCCACGCGCGACCCCCACCCCCGTCGCGACCCGACCCATGGCAACCATTTAGCCGACCGTGCAGATACTCGCCCAGCCAGTCCATACAACCACGCGGCAACTTTTGCCCCGTGTTTTTTTTTTGTTACCCAGGCCGCCTGCATATATATACACGTGTGTGTGTATATATACACGTGTGTGTTATTATACATATTATTATAATATCTAAATATAGTATTATAATATATAATAATATTATAATATGATTATGATATATAATTGTATATTATATAATACTCTTATTATATATTATTATCCACGTGTGCGTGTTTATATAAATCTCTACGCGCTCGCCCCTCCCCCGTCCGTTAGTTCACTCGTCACGCATGGTCAGCGCGCGACCTCTCGCGCGCGACCTCTCGCATGCGACCTCTCGCGCGCGACCTCTCGCGCGCGAAAGTGCTCGTGGCGCCACGAGCACTCCTCCAGAGTGAGCCGAACGTCCCGCCGTTCATAACGGATTGTTTTTTTTTTTAAGTTGGGGGTTGCATCGCGTAAATATGAACGTATCGTTAAACCCGCCACCGCCACCACCACCAATTAAGTTGCTAGTTCGGCACTAACCGGTCGTGTGTGTTGGAGAGTAAACCCACAGCGACATTTACAATTCGAAGGGCCGCGACGTTTCGCCGGTAATTACAACCGTCGGCATCACCAGGCGACAGCCAGAGTTGTGGAGAAATCCTCCTCCCCGTTTCGGCCTCAAATAGAGGAGGGCAAATGTGATGTCATCACTTGTGAGCCAATCAGGAGTGACGCAGAGGCCGCAAACGGGTTTTGATTCCTTACCCGATACCAGTACCCGTACCCGTACTCGTACCCGATACCCGTACCCGTACTCGGACCCGTACCCGTACCCGGCCGCACCAGGGTCGCAAACGGGTACCCGTACCCGTAACCCGGCCGTACCCGTACCCTACCAGTACCCGGCCGGGTACGGGTAGGGTACGGGTATTGGGTACCCGATTGCGACCTCTGGGATGAAGCCATGTTGCAGGCGCGGGTGGGTTGATTCTAGGAACTTGAATTGTGAGACGAGACAAGACGTTGGGAAATGAGTGACAAACGGTGACTCACCAGTGACTCACGGCCTACCCATACCCGGCCGCACCAGGGTCGCAAATGGGTACCCGTACCCGTACCCGGCCGGGTACGGGTAGCTGGGTATCGGGTAGGGTACGGGTATCGGTTACCCGGTTGCGACCTCTGGTGTGACGACCGCGGGGCGGGGAGGGGGTTAATTAATTCGTGTAAATTACAATGGATGTTTAGTCCTGTCGTGAGCATCGTCGTCATCGTCCGAGTAATCGAGCCCGCCAGTCCGTCTGAACGCCTTGACCTCTGACTCCCCCGTGGCCTCCCCCCCGTCCCCCTGCACCCATCCTCAAGTACATGGGGGACTTCCCGATGCGGCAGGTGACCTCCGACCCGGGCACCGACCTCACCGACCAGGTGTTCAGGCCGGCGCTGAAGAACGCCTGCATGCAGGACGAGATCTACTGCCAAATCCTCAAGCAGCTCACCGACAACAAACAGGGGTGAGCCGGCGAGCTTTGCCGCTGCTTTTCTACTCTTGCCATGTAGTGGGAGGGGGGGAGAGCGGTGCCTTGGAAATACGCGACCTCCGGAAGAAGTTCTGTCGTGTCCGCTTTCCCGAGCCGTTCTGTCTGTGTGCTTAAAATCGGCTTGGAGACTCGAGTAAACCACGTGACTTCTGTGGGTGGCCGGCCACCAAAGGTCGCAAACGGATTTTGATTCCTTACCCGTACCCGTACCCGGCCGCACCAGGGTCGCAAATGGGTACCCGTTCCCTACCCGTACCCGTACCCTACCCGAGATGAGTGACAAACGGTTACTCACCAGTGACTCACGGCCTACCCGTACCCGGCCGCACCGGGGTCGCAAACGGCTACCCGTACCCAGCCGGGTATGGGTAGCCGGGTATCGGGTAGGGTACGGGTATCGGGTACCCAGTTGCGACCTCTGGTGGCCACCCCCGCTCTGAATGTCTCTCCTCTCATCTGCAGATCTCCACACCTCTACATCTCTAAATCAGCACGAGCCTCCAGTAAACCACGTGACTTCTGTGGGTGGCCACGCCCGCTCTGAGTCGCCTCCCCTCTCCCCGCCCACTGTGAAAACAGACGCCGCTCCTGCTCCTCCGTGCAGTAGCAGCACGAGTCCCTGACGCAGCCTTTCCTTCCTCCATCTCCTTACCGCTGTGTGTGTGTGTGTGCGTACAGGTATAGTGAAGAGAAGGACTGGTAGCTGATCTGGCTATGTGTGTGTGTGGAACGGTGGTGCAATGGGGTGTGTGTAAACATCGCCACTGGGGAGACAAAGGCGGCCGGGCGTAGTGCTGGCCACCCACCTCCTCGTGTGCCGTGCCGGTCTTCATAGGTGCTACTTGCTAACAGCACTTGCCCCAAAAGGCTGTTGCAGGCTATACTGCGGATCTTTGCATGTGTGTGGGAAACGGTGGTGCAGTGGTTAAAGCGATGCACTACGAATCCCAGTTTGATTCCGGCTCACGGCCACCAACACCAGTGACGATTATCTGAACCGGTCCTGTGCCTCCCCTAGGTCGACTCAGCCTCAAATGAGTGTGTAAACATCGCCACTGGGGAGACAAAGGCGGTCGGGCGTGGCGCTGGCCACCCAACCCCACGTGTGCCGTGCCGGCCTTCGTAGGTGCTGTCGCTAGCTAACAGCACTTGCCCCGACAGTCTGCTGAGGCTACGCGGGGGATCTTTGTCTTTGTTGTGTCCAGGTATAGCGAGGAGAAGGGCTGGGAGCTGCTGTGGTTGTGCCTGGGTCTGTTCCCGCCGGGACCGGCGCTGGCTCCGCACGTCCAGGAGTTCCTCAAGTCGCGGCAGCGAACGGCTCACGTCGCCCGGCTGAACCGCAGCCTGCAGAACAGCGGGTCGGCACACACACATATACATATATACACACACACCTATACACATACCTATACACACATATACATATACACACACACACATATACACATACACACACCTATACACACATATACATAGACACACACACATATACACACCTATACACACATATATGTACACATACACACACATATATACACACATATATATACACACACACATATACACACACACATATATACACACACACATATACACATATACACATACACACACATATATACACACACACACATATATACACACCTATACACACATATATACACACATATATACTCACACACATACACATATACACACACACCTATACACACACCTATACACACATATACATATCCACACCTATACACACACACATATACATATCCACACCTATACACACATATACATATACACACCTACACACACACACATATATACACACCTATACACACATATATACACACACATATACTCACACATATACACACACACATATATACATATACACACACATATACTCACACACATATACACACACACATATATACATATACACACACATACACACACACATATATACACACGTATATATATATACACACTAGCTGTACTACCCGGCTTCGCCCGGGACTTGTATCCACCACGGCCGGCCGCCTTTGTCTCCCCAGTGGCGATGTTAATACGCCACACCAGTTACTCGTTTGAGGCTGAGTCCCTCCCTCACCACTCTCCCTCCCTCACCACTGTCCCTCCCTCACCACTCTCCCTCCCTCACCACTCTCCCTCCCTCACCAATGTCCCTCCCTCACCACTCTCCCTCCCTCACCACTCTCCCTCCCCACCACTCTCCCTCCCTCACCACTCTCCCTCCCTCACCACTGTCCCTCCCTCACCACTCTCCCTCCCTCACCACTCTCCCTCCCTCACCACTCTCCCTCCCTCACCACTCACGCACGGCCGCCTTTGTCTCCCCAGTGGCGATGTTAATACGCCACACCAGTTACTCGTTTGAGGCTGAGTCGACCTAGGGGAGGTTCAAATAATCGTCACTGGTGGTGGCCGTGAGCAGGAATGGAACTCGGTTCACCGGGTTTGTAGCGCAGCATAGCGTTAACCACTACACCCACCGCTCCTCACACACCACACACGCACAGACACACACACAGACACACACACAGACACACGCAGACACACACAGACAGACACAGACAGACACACACACACACAGACACACAGACAGCACGCTAAGCACTACACTACCGCTCCCCACACACCACACACAGACACACACACAGACACACACACAGACACACACACACAGACACAGACAGCACGCTAAGCACTACACTACCGTTCCCCTTACACAACACACGCGCGCGCGTCTATAGGTACACATACACGCACTTGCTGCAGACACACACGACTTTCAGGGTGCGCACGGCAGTAAAAGACTGCAATAATAAAGCGGCAATGCTGTGCGAGGAACGCCTTAGACCTGCAAGACATTTGTGTAATGCGAGCGTAAACACACAAACACATACAAACACATACACACACATACATACACACACATACACACAAACACATACACACACATACACACACATACATACACACAGACATACACATACACACAAACACACACATACATACACACAAACACATACACAATACACACAGACATACATGCAGACACACAGAGACACACATAACACACATACATACACACACATACATACACAGAAACACATACACACACATACATACACACATACATACACACAAACACATACACACACGTACATACACACATACATACAGACACACAGACATAGACATAAACACATAAAAAAACCCCACATACATACACACACAGACATACACACAAACACATACACACACATACATACACACATACATACACAGAGACAAACACATACACACAAACACACACATACATACACACAAACACATACACAATACACACACACATACATGCAGACACACACATAACACACATACGTACACACGCATACATACACAGAAACACATACACACACATACATACACACACACATACATGCACACACGTACATACACACATACATACAGACACGCAGACATACACATAAAGACATACAAAAAAACCGACATACATACACACACACATACACACAAACACATACACACACATACATACACACATACATAGAGACACACAGACATACACATAAACACATACACACATACACATGACCCGGCTTCGCCCGGGACTTGGATCCACGATGGCCGGCCGCCTTTGTCTCCCCAGTGACGATGTTCACACACGACAGCAGTTACGCGTTTGAGGCTGAGTCGACCTAGGGGAGGCCCAGGTCCGTTTAAAATAATCGTCAGCGGTGGTGGGCGTGAGTTGGAATGGAACTGGGGTCGCTCAACCAGCTTAATGACTATTTGTACAAAGAACATATAAAGAATCGATTATAATAACCAGGCTACAGTCCACATTATAGACTGGCAGTACACGCACTCAGCTTCATAAGCAGGCTAGAGTGTACATGATAGAGTGGCAGTACGCTCACCGAGTTTAATAAGCAGGCTACAGTCTACATGATAGACTGGCAGTACGCTGACCCAGCTTAATGACTATTTGTACAGTGAACATTTAAGTAATCGATTGTTGGCGCGTTGGGTTTAAAAGTAATATAAATTGCACACATTGTGGTGGGGGTGGAGTGAATAGTAGGAAAAACTTTGATGAATTTACCTCAGAGTGGCGTGGTGGGTGTCGAGGCCTAGTAGCGTGCAGAGCCTGCGGCCTCGCCAAAATTGTCCAGCCGGCAAAGGCAGGGTACGGGTGGCGTGCCTTCCCCCCCCCCCCTCAGCGCTCCAACAATACTGTGTAATGGCAATTATTTAATTATTTACGGAGCCTATGAAAGTGGCGAAGGCGTGGCTAGCCGTTGGCAGGGGCAACTGCCGTCCAATGAAACTGCAGCCCTTGGCGAAGGCGTCGCTAGCCGTTGCCAGGTCCAATGAAAGCGGCGAAGGCGTCGCTAGCCGTTGCCAGGGGCAACCGCCGTCCAATGAAAGTGCGTATGGTCCGAAATCCACACAGACAGACAGACATGCACGATTTTATATATATAGATAACAAAACAACCCCCTACCTCCTCGCTGTGCCGGACGGGCAACACTGTCGTGGACATTGCTGTGGGGGGAGGGCCAATGCCCATTGGACCTGTGTGTGATCACGTGTTCACCTGTGTGTGTGATCACGTGTTCACCTGTGTGTGATCACGTGTTCACCTGAGTGTGATCACGTGTTCACCTGTGTGTGATCACGTGTTCACCTGTGTGTGATCACGTGCTCACCTGTGTGTGATCACGTGCTCACCTGTGTGTGATCACGTGCTCACCTGTGTGTGATCACGTGTTCACCTGTGTGTGATCACGTGTTCACGTGTGTGTGTTCACGTGTTCACGTGTGTGTGTCCACTTGTTCACGTGTATGTGTTTACCTGTATGTGTTCACCTGTGTGTGTGATCACGTGTTCACCTGTGTGTGTTCACCTGTGTGTGTTCACGTGTGCTGGGTGCAGGTTTCCCCTGCGCAGGTACCCGCCGCACCTGCGCGAGGTGAAGGCAGCGCAGCACAAGTCGCGCAAGCTGCACCACCCCGTCTCCTTCCCCGACCAGTCGGAACAGGTGCTCGCAAACTACACCACCATCATCATCATCAATATCATCAATATCGTCACTCTCTTCAACATCATCTGCATCGTCGACATCGCCATCATCACTATCATCACCATCATCATCACCTATCAACAACATCACTCATCACCATTGTTACCATCATCATCAGATCATCAACACCATCACTCTCATCACCATCGTTACCATCATCGCCATTATCACTATCATCACCATTGTTATCAGCATCATCATCATCATCACCTATCCACAACATCACTCATCACTATCATTATCACCATCAACATCATCACTTTCATCACCATCATCTGCATCGTCGACATCACCATCATCACTCTCATCACCTTCATTACTAGCATCATCATCATCGCCATTATCACTATCATCACCATCGTTATCAGCATCATCACCATTACCAATCTCATCACCATCATTCTCAGCATCATCATCATCACCTATCCACAACATCACTCATCACCATTGTTACCATCATCATCACTCTCATCAACATCATCACTCTCATCACCATTATCATCATCATCACCATTACCAATCTCATCAACCATCATTCTCAGCATCATCATCATCACCTATCCACAACATCACTCATCGCCATCGTTATCAACATCAACATCATCACTCCCATCACCATTATCATCATAATCACCATTACCAATCTCATCACCCATCATTCTCAGCATCATCATCAACATCACCTATCCACAACATCACTCATCACCATCGTTGTCACCATCAACATCATCACTCTCATCACCGTTATCATCATCCTCTGCAGCACCCAATGTTGTTCTGTATCTGTCATCATTGCCTCCACCACCAAAGACAAAGCTCCCCCATGTAGTCTTTAGCGGGCTGTTGGGCCAAGTGCTCTTCAGCGAGCACCTGCGAAGGGCTGGCGTGGCACAGTGGCCAGCGCCACGCCCGGCCTCCTTTGTGTCCCCAGTGTTGTTGTTGTTGTTGTTTGACTTGCATCCCACTGGGATTTTTGCACACAGCGTTGGTGTACGGTGCTTTTTTCTGCAATATTTTGCTGTTTTTTCTTGGATTTTCTGTTTGCACATAGTCACTTTAAGATGTTTTTTGTTCATGTTTATGTTTTTTGTTTGTTGCAGTTGCACCTGATTCAAGAGCCGAATGGCTCACAGGGCTATACCTAATAAATGAACTTGAACTTGACTGGGTCAACCTAGGCGGGGCGGAGGGGGGACAGCCCAGGACTGGTCCACCGTAGCAGTCGTCATCGACGTCGGCCCGTGAACGGGAATCGAACTCGCAGCGTTAGGTAGCGAAAACCGCCCTCGCCATCACCACCTCACGGTTTTCCCTGCGTGGCGTCTCTCTCGGTCTCTCTGTCTTTTTCTGTCTCTCTCTGTCTCTCTCTGTCTCTCGGTCTCTCTCTGTCTCTCTCGGTCTCTCTCTGTCTCTCTCTCTCTGTCTCTCTCTGTGTCTCTGTCTCTCTCTCGGTCTCTCTCTGTCTCTCTCTGTGTCTCTATCTCTCTGTCTCTCTCTGTCTCTCTGTCTCTATCTGTCTCTATCTGTCTCTCTCTGTCTCTCTCTGTCTCTCTCTGTCTCTCTCTGTCTCTCTCTGTCTCTCTCTCTCTGTCTCTCTGTCTCTCTCTGTCTCTCTGTCTCTCTCTCGGTCTCTCTCTCTGTCTCTCTCTCGGTCTCTCTCTGTCTCTGTCTCTCTGTCTGCCGTGCAGACGTTCGAGGTGGACGCGGGCACGCGAGTGCGCGAGCTCTGCCTGGCCATCGCCAAGAAGCTGCAGCTCAAGTCGCAGGAGGGGTTCTGCCTCTTCATCAAGATCCTGGACAAGGTGCGGTGGGAGGGAGGCTGGGGAGGGAGGGGAGGGAGGGAGGGAGGGGGGAGGGAGACTGGGGAGGGAGGAGGGGAGGGAGACTGGGGAGGGAGGGAGGGAGGGAGGGAGGGGAGGGAGGGAGGGAGGGAGGGGAGGGAGGGAGGCTGGGGAGGGAGGGAGGGAGGGAGGGGGGAGGGAGACTGGGGAGGGAGGGAGGGAGGGAGGGGGGAGGGAGACTGGGGAGGGAGACTGGGGAGGGAGGGAGGCAGGGAGGGAGGGGAGGGAGACTGGGGAGGGAGACTGGGGAGGGAGGGAGGGAGGAAGGGAGAGGAGGAAGGGAGGGAGGGAGGCTGGGGAGGGAGGAACTCCCCAACAAACACTTTTACTCGGCACCCCAAATTGTCAATGACTGCATCGGGGCATCGGTCACGTCCGTCCGCGCGCCGCCAGTTCACCGGCACGACCGCCTGCAGCGGCGCTGTATGGTGCCGTGGTGTTTGGTGCCGTGGTGAATGGTGCCGTGGTGTATGGTGCCGTGGTGTTTGGTGCCGTGGTGTTTGGTGCCGTGGTGTTTGGTGCCGTGGTGTTTGGTGCTGTGCGGTGACACGCGGTGACGCGCGGTGGCGGTGTGTGCTGCTGGCGATGCAGGTGGTGAGCATGCCAGATGGAGACTTCTTCTTTGACTTCGCCAGGCAAATGGAGGAGTGGACCAACAGTGGGAGGGTGGCACGGGAAGGTAACGAGCGCTGGCGGGGAGAAGGTTCCGCGTGCCGGCTCGGAGACTCAACACTGCCCATAGACTCAACACTGCCCATAGACTCAACACTGCCCATAGACTCAACACTGCCCATAGACTCAACACTGCCCATAGACTCAACACTGCCCATAGACTCACCACTACCCATAGACTCACCACTACCCATAGACTCAGCACTGCACCATAGACTCACCACTACCCATAGACTCAACACTACCAATAGACTTAACACTGCACCATAGACTCACCACTACCCATAGACTCAACACTACCCATAGACTCAACACTGCCCATAGACTCAACACTGCACCATAGACTCAACACTGCACCATAGACTCAACACTACCCATAGACTCAACACTACCCATAGACTCAACACTGCACCATAGACGCAAACTGCACCATAGACTCAACACTGCACCATAGACTCAACACTGCACCATAGACTCAACACTGCACCATAGACTCAACACTGCCCATAGACTCAATACTGCCCATAGATTCAACACTGCCCATACACTCAACACTGCCCATAGACTCAACACTACCCATAGACTCAACACTGCCCATAGACTCAACACTGCCCATAGACTCAACACTGCACATAGACTCAACACTGCCCATATACTCAACACTGCCCATAGACTCAACACTACCCATAGACTCAACACTGCCCATATACTCAACACTGCCTATAGACTCAACACTACCCATAGACTCAACACTACCCATAGACTCAACACTGCCCATAGACTCAACACTGCCCATAGACTCAACACTGCCCATAGACTGAACACTGCCCATATACTCAACACTGCCCATAGACTCAACACTACCCATAGACTCAACACTGCCCATAGACTCAACACTGCCCATAGACTCAACACTGCCCAAAGACTCAACACTGCCCATAGACTCAACACTGCCCATATACTCAACACTGCCCATAGACTCAACACTACCCATAGACTCAACACTGCCCATAGACTCAACACTGCCCATAGACTCAACACTGCCCATAGACTCAACACTGCCCATAGACTCAACACTGCCTATATACTCAGCCCTTCAAGTTCAAGTTCATTTATTAGGTATAGCCCTGTGAGCCATTCGGCTCTTGAATCGGGTGCAACCGCAACAAACAAAAAACAAAAACATGAACAAGAATACATCTTATAGTGACTATGTGCAAACAGAAAATCCAAGAAAAGACAGCAAAAAATTCTAGAAAAAGCACTGCCCATAGACTCAACACTACCCATAGATTCAACACTACCCATAGACTCATTAGCATTTTCATCAGCATCATCAGCAGCAGCATCATCATTAGAATTAGCATCATGATCAGCATCATCATCATCAGAAGAAGCATCAGCAGCATCATCAGCAGCAGCATCAGCAGCATCATTATCACCTTCAGCAGCAACACCAGCATCAGCAGCATCACCACGTGGTGTGCGTTCATTTTTTGTTTCTCCTCTCAACATTTCATTGCGCTCACCGCTGCCAAAGTGCCCAAGCCACAAACGAGCCCCTTGCAGGCGCCTCGTGCAGCACAGCAAGAAGGATGGACAGACGGACGGTGACGCGGTGGCCACCCGGCACGTGGGGCCTTGACCAGAGGTCGCAAACGGGTTTTGATTCCTTACCCGTACCCGGCTGCACCAGGGTCGCAAACGGGTACCCGTACCCTACCCGATACCCGGCTACCCGTACCCGGCCGGGTATCGGGTAGGGTACGGGTATCGGGTACCCGATTGCGACCTCTGGGATGAAACCATATTGCAGGCACGGGTGGGTTGATTCTAGGAACTTGAATTGTGAGAAGAGACAAGACGTTGGGAAATGAGTGACAAACGGTGACTCACCAGTGACTCACGGCCTACCCGTACCCGGCCGCACCAGGGTCGCAAACGGGTACCCGTACCCAGCCGGGTACGGGTAGCCGGGTATCGGGTAGGGTACGGGTATCGGGTACCCGGTTGCGACCTCTGGCCTTGACGCTGGCTGCCCCCCCCCCGTGCCCCCCTCTATCTCTCTCTGTGTCGGTGCGCTGCTAGGCCAGGCAGCTGCCCCCATGCCGGAGTACCAGGTGCACTTTCTGCGCAAGCTCTGGGTCAACGTGGTCCCGGGGAAGGACCCCACCGCAGACAACTTGTTCCACTACCCGCAGGTGATGCCACGTGGTGCCACTCAGAGCCACAGGCGCGAGTGTGTGTCACTAGGTACACGTGTGTGTGTGTCACTAGGTACACGTGTGTGTGTGTCACTAGCCACACGCGTGTGTGTGTGTGTCACTACCTGCACGCGTGTGTGTGTGTGTCACTAGCTACACGTGTGTCTGTGTGTGTGTGTCACTAGGTACACGTGTGTGTGTGTGTGTGTCACTAGGTACACGTGTGTGTGTGTGTGTCACTAGCCACACGCACGTGTGTGTGTGTCACTAGCTACACGTGTGTCTGTGTGTGTGTGTCACTAGCCACACGCACGTATGTGTGTGTCACTAGCCACACGCGTGTGTGTGTGTGTGTGTCACTAGTGGGGAGCGGTAGTGTAGCGGTTAGCGCGCTGCGCTATGAACCTGGCGACCCGGGTTCGATTCCCGCTCACGGCTAACACCAGTGACGATTATCTGAACCGGTCCTGGGCCTCCCCTAGGTCGACTCAGCCTTAAATGAGTACCTGGTGCGGTGTGTAAACATCGCCACTAGGGAGACAAAGGCGGTCGGGCGTGGTGCTGGCCACCCACCCCCTCGTGTACCGTTCCGGCCTTCATAGGTGCTCGCTAACAGCACTTGCCCCTACAGTCTGTTCAGGCTATACGGGGGATCTTTGTGTCACTAGCCACACGCGCGTGTGTGTGTCACTAGCTACATCATCTTCGTCACCACCATATTCATCACCAACGTCAACATCGTCATCATCATCGCCGCCACCATCATCATCACCTTAATGACGATCGCCACCATCAAAATTGTGGTCATCCTCAACATCATCATCATCAACATCATCATTATTATTTTTTTACCCTTCTATCTGGCAACAGAACTGACACCTTTTTTACAAGGAGTCATGTTTGCATAGACCACAATACCTGCAATCATAATGCAAACAAAAAACATAACTCTGATAATGTGCACTGTCCTTGAAGTTGATTGATCCACACCCGAGACAGCTTTCCTTAGAGCCTAGTCTCACATGGGTTGGACCAGATGACGCCAAAAGGCGCACAACTCAAAGACAATGGCAAATTAGGTTCCAATGGGATCATCAACATCATCATCATCATCGCTCCCGTCGTCATCACTCTCCCCCCCGCACGACCGTCCCCATCACCGCCATCAACGCCACCGTCTCCTTGACCCCCCACCCGCCCGCGCAGGAGCTACCCAAGTTTCTGCGCGGCTTCCACAAGGTGTCCCGCGAAGACGCCGTGCAGCTGGCGGCGTTGGTGTTCCGCGCCCGCCACGGTGACGAGCGAGCCGCCATCTCCGGCATCGGGCGCAGCCTCAAGGAGCTGCTGCCCCACGACCTCCTGCCCGATGCCTCCACCGACGCGTGGAAGAAGGTGACGGTCCCCCTCGTCGCTCGACGTCCCCCCCCCCGTCCGCCCCGCGACGAAGATTAGCGACGGTTGGCAATGCACGGTGGACAAGTAAACCCGTAAAAACTAAGTTTTTCACTATAAATCCTTTATATGCGTGGCGGCTAGAGTCCTCTCGTCCTCTGGCTTGAGATGGCTGCCACCTATGGGTCAGATGATTGTCTGCCAGTATTAAGCAATTGGTAATTAAATATTTAATTTGTTTTCCCTAAACAGTGTAAAATGTTGGAAAAAAATTTCACGAACATTAATTGTCTCGCACAACGAGTCTGTGTGCAAAATGTCAGCTCGATTGGATCACGAGAAGTGGGTTAAAAAACGACCGAAAGATATGCACGGTCCTAAGCAAGCAAGCAAGCACGCAAGCAAGCAAGCAAATGAACTTAATATAAAGGATTTCAAAAAGAAGTTTGACGTACGTGCGTACGTCGAATCAGAATTCAGTAAAGCCTTGGATTGCGAGCATAATTTGTTCCGGAACATTTACTTGATACAGCTGTCGGACTGTGACGGTTCCACCTGAAGACGGAAGCTTGTGTTGCCTCCGAAACGTCGTGATTTTTATTTTATTTTACTTTTATTAATTTCAATTTTTTACCTACGTCACTTTACCGACAAAACCTAAGAATAAAAAACAAACTGCACAGTTTGCCGGCTGCACAATGGCGCCCCGATTAATGATTTCCTCCCCCCCCCCTCCCCACCCTTCGCTAGTTGATCGTCGCAGCCATCAGCAAGAACGCCGGCAAGACGCACGACGAAGCTAAGCTGGCGTTCCTCAAGATCATCAGCAGGTGGCCTACGTTCGGAACGACCTTCTTTGACGTCAAGGTGAGGGCCGGCCTCCATCTGCACATCTGTGAAAAAAGGAAACAAAATTAACCCGTAAAAACAAAGTTTTTCACTCTAAATCCTTTATATGCGTGGTGGCTAGAGTCCTCTCGTCCTCTGGCTTGAGATGGCTGCCACCTATGGGTCAGATGATTGCCTGCCACCATTAAGCAATTGGTAATTAAATATTTTTTTTTTCCTAAAAAGTGTAAAATTTTTGAAAAAAAAATTTCACGAAAATTAATTGTCACGCACAACGAGTCTGTGTGCAAAATGTCAGCTCGATTGGATCACGGGAAGTGGGTTTAAAAACGACCGAAAGATTTGCACGGTCCTAAGCAAGCAAGTAAGCACGCAAGCACGCAAGCAAGCAAGCAAGTGAACTTAATATAAAGGATGTAAAAATAGCTTAATAGCTCATCGGATTCCTCCAGGACGAATAAATGTTCCGACTCTGATTTAGGGGGCTCAACGGCGCTCCCGTCAATGGCGCGCGTGTGTGGAGAGCGGTGGCGCCGCGGTTTAGCGCTACGCTGCGCTACGAACCCGGCGACCCGTGTTCGATTCCCGCTCGCGGCCAACACCGGTGACGATTTTATGAACCGGTCCCAGGCCTCCCCTGGGTCGACTTGGCCATGTGTAAACATCGCCGCTGCTAGGGAGACAAAGGCGGCCGGGCGTGATGCTGGCCACTTCCGTTATGACCCCTCATAGTTGCTCTCTGACAGCACTTGCCCTGGACAGTCTGCTTCAGGCTAAACGGGGGGATCTTTGTCTTCGGGGCCTTGACAGGGAATCGTATTTAACGCCTGACGTTTCGGGCAGCGTCACTTCTTCTGAGCGAGCCATTGCCGGACTGTGCCCTTCAAGTCCACTCCAGTATTCCACCCCTGGATTCCACTCCGGGATTTTGTAGCGCACTGTCGTCACGTCGCCCCCCGCCCCCCTCCCACGGTGCGTCGCTCGTCCCGGCGGAGGTTCGATCGGTTCGCATCTGCTCGGCAGCCCCGGTCGGTACCGCGGTTGACCCGCCGGGTGCCGTTTGTTTCGTTTGCAGCAAATCTCCGAGCCCACCTACCCCGACATCCTGCGGATCGCCATCAACAAGCACGGGCTGAGCCTCATCAACCCCAAGACCAAGGCGAGTGGCTCGCGAGCGGTCGCTCGCTCTGCCCGTTAGCGCAAGGTGGTCGGCAAACACGATAATAGCAGGGGGAGACATTTTTTGTATTATTATTATTACGGTAACAATAAATGTTAAAAAATGCAATATTTCATTAGCCAGCGATGTGACGTGAAGCAACACACACACACACACACAAAAAACCCCGTATAGCATTAACAGACTGTTGGGGCAAGTGCTGTTAGCGAGCACCTGCGAAGGCCGGCACATGCTTTTACTTTTGGAATTCGCGGTGACCTGGGTCACTCTGGCAAATGAGACTCATCCTCTTCGGTTGTGTTCTGGCCGTGACGAGATGTTAACTACCTCGCCTGGTATACAGGAGGTCGTGGGTTCGAACCCGACCCTGACTACGCCTGAATATTTGGAATTTGTCTATTTAGATCATCATCACGGTGGCTAGGAGATGTTAACTACCTCGCCTGGTATACAGGAGGTCGTGGGTTCAAACCCGACCCTGACGCCTGCTGTATATTTGGAGTTTGCATGTCTCTCTCCCCGTGGTTGCGTGGATTTTTGCCCGGGCCCTCCAGTTTTTCACATTCACATTTAGAATCAAAATGCCGTTCGGAGTATGTGTCTGCAATAAGTGTCCACGTGACGATAAGCCACTTCGTTGGGTCAACATTTGCGGCCAGGTCGCTTCTGAAAAAGAGCTCTGTAGTTTATCGGACCTCACCGGGTAAAATAAAAGTAGTGTTTGATACCATTGGAACCTCATTTGCCAGTAAAAAATATGATAATTGGTTTTTTACCCTTCTATCTGGCAACAAACCTGGCACCTTTTTTTGACTCCTACATGACTCCTTGTAGAAACAAGGTGTCAGTTTTGTTGCCAGATAAAGGGTAAAAAAACAATTATCATATTTTTTACTGGCAAATGAGGTTCCAATGGTGTACATGCTTACCCCGAGCTCTCATACTCTGTTGGTGCATTGTCTTTGAGTTGTACGCCTTTTGGCGTCATCTGGTCCAACGCATGTGAGACTAGGCTCTAAGGAAAGCTGTCTCGGGTGTGGACCAATCAACTTCAAGGAAAGTGCACATTATCAGAGTTATGTTTTTGTTTGCATTATGACCGCAGGTATTGTGGTCAATGCAAACATGACTCCTTGTAAAAAAAAAAGTGTCAGTTTTGTTGCCAGCTAGAAGGGTAAAAAACAATTATCATAGTGTTTCATAGTTGAGTTCTCACCCAGTCAACACGCAGAGCCCAAGTGAAACGCAGACCCTCCCTCCCTTGGCAGGACATACTAGCTCAGCACAGCTTCACCAAGATCTTCAACTGGAGTAGCGGGAGCACGTACTTCCACATCACCATCGGCAGCGCCGTGAACGGTACCAAGCTGCTGTGCGAAACGTTCCTGGTGAGTGGTGGCACGCACACACACAGACGCACACGCAGAGACACACAGACACACACAGAGACACACACAGACACACACACAGACACACACAGACACAGAGAGAGAGAGATATACGCAAAGAGACAAACACGTACACACACAGACACACACACAGACACACACACAGACACACAGACACACAGACAAAGAGAGATATATGCACAGGCAAACACACACACACACAGACACACACACAGAGACACACAGATACACACACAGACAGAGAGAGATATACGCACAGAGACAAACACGCACACACACAGACGCACACACAGAGACACACATAGACAAACACAGAGACACACACAGACACACACACAGACAGAGAGATATACGCACAGAGACAAACACGCACACACACAGACGCACACACAGAGACACACATAGACACACACACAGACACACAGAGACACACACACAGACAGAGGGATATACGCACAGAGACAAACACGCACACACACACACGCACACACAGACAAACACACACACAGACAGAGAGAGACATACACACAGACAAACACACACACACACATACAGACACACACACACATACAGACACACACACAGAGAGACAAACACACACATACACACACAGAGAGCGTCGTTCAGCCCCTACCTCTTCCGATGGCGGAAGGGATCATTATCATATTCTTAGGTTTTTTCGGTAAAGTCACGTAGGTAAAAAAAATAAAATTAATAAAAGTAAAATAAATAATAAAATAAAAATCACGACGTTTCGGAGGCAACACAAGCTTCCGTCTTCAGGTGGAACCGTCACAGCACGATAGCTGTATCAAGTGAGAGAAATTCCAAGAAAACAGGCCTTGTATATATACTGGTTGAGGGTGGGAGGAGCCAAGGCAGGCCTCTGGATATTATTTTTATTGTGAAGTTGGTGCGGCTAAAGCTGCTGCTAGGAATGAGCCTTTGTTGTGTAGACTGGTTGAACTGGGAGGTTCCAAGAGTTGTTAATGTGCGGCTGATGTAAAGGTGCGGCTGCTGTAAATGGGACTGAGCCTTTGTTATGTAGAGGTGGTGCGGCTGAAACCGCTGCTAAGAATGAGCCTTTGTTGTGTAGACTGGTTGAACTGGGAGGTTCCAAGAGTTGTTAAGGTGCGGCTGCTGTAAATGGGACTGAGCCTTTGTTATGTAGAGGTGGTGCGGCTGAAACCGCTGCTAGGAATGAGCCTTTGTTGTGTAGACTGGTTGAACTGGAAGGTTCCAAGAGTTGTTAAGGTGCGGCTGATGTAAAGGTGCGTGTAAATGTGACTGAGCCTTTTGTTATGTAGAGGTGGTGCGGCTGAAACCGCTGCTAGGAATGAGCCTTTGTTGTGTAGACTGGTTGAACTGGGAGGTTCCAAGAGTTGTTAAGGTGCGGCTGCTGTAAATGGGACTGAGCCTTTGTTATGTAGAGGTGGTGCGGCTGAAACCGTTGCTCGGAATTAGCCTTTTTTGTGTAGACTGGTTGAACTGGGAGGTTCCAAGAGTTGTTAAGGTGCGGCTGATGTAAAGGTGCAGCTTCAAATCTAGGATCATTATCAGACATTGCGGGTCGCAGCGGGGCAGGATAGCCGACCCTCCCGCTCGCTCACTCACGGCACCCGCCAGCTTGCCCTGGCGCCCCTCGACAGCTGCTGGACCTGTGGCGTTGCGGCTCTTCCCGTGTGCAGGGCTACAAAGTGGACGACCTCCTGACCTCGTACATCAACCTCCTCATGAGCAAGCAGCAAGGGGACACGAGGTCGGCCGGGAATTACCGATAGCCGCCGGGAGCCACGGCCGCCGGGAGCCACGGCCGCCGGGAGCCACGGCCGCGCGACGTGGAGCGACGTCGACGGAGAGAACTGACGATGAGCCCTCGGGGTCAAGGTCGGAGAGGTCACCGAGGCCAGTGACGCTGATGACGTCATCACACCTCGCCATTGCATCATCGCGCGTCGCTGTGACATCACGCATCGCTATGACATCACACCTCGTCGTGACATCGCAACTCGCTATGACATCGCAACTCGCTATGACATCACAACTCGCTATGACATCACACCTCGCCATGACATCACGCATCGCTGTGACATCACACCTCGTCGTGACATCACACCTCGCTATGACATCACACCTCGCCATGACATCACACCTCGCTATGACATCATACCTCGCTATGACATCACAACTCGTTATGACATCACACCTTGCCATGACATCACAACTCGCTATGACATCATACCTCGTTATGACATCACTCCTCGCTATGACATCACACCTCGCTATGACATCACTCCTCGCTATGACATCACAACTCGCTATGACATCACAACTCGCTATGACATCACAACTCGCTATGACATCACAACTCGCCATGACATCACACCTCGCTATGACATCACACCTCGCCATGACATCACAACTCGCTATGACATCACAACTCGCCATCGGCCACTTCCCTTCCTGGACAGTCATTGGCTGAGTGCCCGAGGCTCGAAAAAATGAAGAATTACAACTCATTGGCACGCCACGGATCCGTCGATTTTCATCCGCGATTCAGGGCCAATTGTAACGTGTCGAACGGCGCACGAAAGAATGTAAATGTACAATCTGTGCAAATCGTGTGCAAACTCGATGCTGCTGCTGTTGCTGCTGCTGCTTCTGCTGCTGTTGCTGCTGCTGCTTCTGCTGCTGCTGCTTCTGCTGCTGCTGCTGCTGCGGTGCGTAACGGTGAAGGCGCGTCCGGCTTGCGATGCGGAGGTGGTGTGTCCGACTTGACCGCAGTTAGCCGATTCGTTCGGCTTTCACGCGGGCGGGGAAAGGTGCGGTCGCTTACTTCCCCTCCAATAGGCCTCGGCCTGGCATGGAAGAGCCTTTAGAGAGGGCCTCTCCAGAGCTCTCTGTCTAACAGCGGCGTGAGCAGGAAATTTGCGAGGCTGCCCCTTTAAATCGCAGTTCAGGCACTCTCTCCAAACCGATGGTTCGATTGAACGTTCTGAGGATAACAAATCGTCCGCGCGCCAATCACAAGGGATGCCACGGTGGCCGGGAGATGTTAACGATCTCTAGATTTGAAGCTTTCGTGACTGCAAGGATTCATAGTCTTAGGTTTTTTAGGTAAAGTCACGTAGGTAAAAAATAAAAAAATCAATTAAAGAGTGATTTTTATTTTACTTTTATTAATTTTAATTTAATATTTTATTTTTTACGTACGTGGCTTTACCGAAAAAAACCTAAGCGTATGTTAACGATCTCGCCTGGTATGCAGGTGGTCGTGGGTTCGACCCTGACCCTGACAGCCTGTTGTGTATTTGGAGTTTTGCGTGTCTCTCTTCCCGTGGTCGCGTGGATTTTTTTCGGGTCCTCCAGTTTTTTTTTTGCTTACAAAAAAAAGAGCTACATAGCTCAGTGGGCCTTGACTGATAAAATAAAAAGTTCCTTGTTTTTTTTCATGTTGTCCTTCCGCCGCATCTGCGATGAGCGCGGTTCGGTACGTACGGTGCGAAAGAAGTTCAACATACAGTGAGGGAAAAAAGTATTTGATCCCCTGCTGATTTTGTACGTTTGCCCACTGACAAAGAAATGATCAGTCTATAATTTTAATGGTAGGTTTATTTGAACAGTGAGAGACAGAATAACAACAAACAAGTATAACCCGTAAAAACAAAGTTTTTCACTATAAATCCTTTATATGCGTGGCGGCTAGAGTCCTCTCGTCCTCTGGCTTGAGATGGCTGCCACCTATGGGTCAGATGATTGCATGGCAGCATTAAGCAATTGGTAATTAAATATAATATTTTTGTCCTAAAAAGTGTAACATTTTGGGAAAAAATTTTCACGAACATTAATTGTCACGCACAACGAGTCTGTGTGGAAAATGTTAGCTCGATTGGATCACAGGAAGTGGGTTAAAAAACGACCGAAAGATTTGCACGGTCGTAAGCAAGCAAGCGAACTTAATATAAAGGATTTAAAAATCCAGAAAAATGCATGTCAAAAATGTTAGAAATTGATTTGCATTTTAATGAGGGAAATAAGAAAATAAATCGCTGTACATACATGTAGAAATATATATCATTTACTGCACATATCACAACAAATATTTCGGCTGCCACGAAGAATATTTTCACCATCACCGACGATGACTCGGACTCTGGATACCTGCCCGCTACTTGGGGGTCCTTGTGAATAAGGGGACCAATGGAACCCCCAGAGAGGACCCCTTATAGACGGGGCCACACGTCAACACGACCGCGTTTTTGATCTTGTCATATTTATGTCGATTTTCACGTCGCAATCAAAATATCCTTGATGGCAAACGTGCGCTTGTCTCGCGAAACGCTGTGGAAGTGATAATAAATTAACCCGTAAAAACAAAGTTTTTCACTATAAATCTTTTATATGCGTGGCATCGGTTTTATTTTATTATTCATTTGTTTTTCTTGAGTAAGAGTTTCATTTTTATCACATTGGTATTTTAAATAAAATATGAAAAAAAAAATTCCTAAAAAGTGGGAAATTTAGGAAAAAAAATTTTCACGAAAATAAATTGTCACGCACAACGAGTCTGTGTGCAAAATATCAGCTCGATTGGATCACGGGAAGTGGGTTAAAAGACGACCGAAAGATTTGCACGGTCGTAAGCACGCAAGCAAGTGAACTTAATATGAAGGATTTAATAAGAATAACCCGTAAAAACAAAGTTTTTCACTATAAATCCTTTATATGCGTGGCAGCGAACTTAATATAAAGGATTTTAAAATATATTCGCCTGTGGAGGACGCAGGGATCGATCCCGCGACCTTTGGCATGGGAAGCCTAGTCTCACATGGTGTTGGACCAGATGACGCCAAAAGGCTGTCTCGGGTGTGGACCAATCAACTTCAAGGACAGTGCATACATTATCAGAGTTATGTTTTTTGTTTGCATCCTGACTGCAGGTATTGTGGTCTATGCAAACATGACTCCTTGTAAAAAAGGTGTCAGTTTTGTTGCCTGATAAAAGGGTAAAAAAACCAATTATATTTTGCTACTGGCAAAGGAGGTTCCAATGATGATCCATTGTAATTTACATGACATTAACCCCCTCCACCCCCCCCCCTCTGGTCTTTGCACCTGATAGGCTCACAGTGATGACATCACCTTTACTCTATTTAAGACCGAACCCGGAAGACTCCTTCACAATTCTGGATAATTGCCTGAAGAAGCTTGTTGTTATTGTTGTAATCACCAGCGAAACGTCACAGTCCTTGAATTGTAAATGTGTTGTGTTTACTCATCGACACACCGTTGTGCTGTATTCGTAGTTAATTGGCGCGTTTCGTTTTCGTGACAAACCTTACTAAATTGGCCGTGTGCGGTGATGGCGGGTTTAACGACGCATTCATATCCACGCAGTGTAACCTAAAGAAGAAAAAGACAACAACCTTTATTATGGATATTAGTCGCGAAAGCCTACTACTGTTAAACTGTAATGATCCATTTTTCGATTTAAAGCTTTCGTGACTGCAGGGATTCATCTTCTTGGTTCTTTCGGTAAAGTCACGTAGAAGGGAAATAATAAAATAATAAAAATAAAACAAAATAATTCTCACGACGTTTCGGCCACAACGCAAGCAGCCGTCCTCAGGTGAAGAACAGGTCTGTCGGAGAATTGTATTTTGTCTGTCGGGGAGACATTCAGACGCTGTCTCCCCGACAGACCTGGTCTTCACCTGAGGACGGCTGCTTGCGTTGTGGCCGAAACGTCGTGAGAATTATTTATTGTTTTATTTTTTAATATTTTATTATTTCCCTTCTACGTGACTTTACCGAAAGAACCAAGAAGCTGTAATGATCCATGTCAGTAATAATAATAATCGATGATCGATGATTATTTGCTGCCAATGCTGCCGTAGTCGTCGAGAAACCTTCTTTCAAAAACGAGACCCAGGCTGCCACGTGCGCATCGCGTTCTCATTGGCTGCGCGCGGAGGTGTCACGTGGTCGTCAATGGGGGGGGGGAGGGGGGGACCTCCCTAGCCCCCACCCCTCACCCCCTTCCAGCTTCCCACCAAAGGATTTGTCCAACATGGGTGGTGCTGTTCGTAGGTCGCGTGGAACTACGCACGGTGGCAATACACCGGACACTTTTGCAGCCTTCGACCCCTTGACAGGTGAACCGCCGCGGAGTCGTCTTGTGCAACGAGAAAGGGACGTCGCCCGAAACGTCGCCTCTTATAGAACAGCTGTTATTGGCCCAGTCGGGTCGGAAGTGGTTTTTTTGTTGTTGTTGTCCACCGGCCGGCTGTACAATCGTCAAAATTAAGTCAAACGCGTCGTCTTCTAAATTGACTCGTTATCGTATTTTACAACGAATAAAGAGTTGAGCGTGTGTGCGCGTTTCACCGGCTGTAGTTCGCAACGATGTCTGGACAGGCTTCATCCAGCAGTAGATTGACCATGTCCGCCGCTGATGCCGATGGGAGGAGTTGTTTACGCGGCTCGCTTGTCGTGGTGGTAACGCGAAACGTCGGTCATGTAAATAGTGACGGTAATTCTGTTTAACTTCTCCCAGCCGCAGCAATAGTTGTGCTTAATGGGTCACGATTGCGAAGTAAGAGACGGGAGCGACAGGCAGAGGTCCCAAACGGGTTTTGATTCCTTACCTGTACCCGGCCGCACCATGGTCGCAAATCGGTACCCGTACCCGTACCCGGCCAGGTACGGGTTCCCGTTCCCTACCCGTACCCTACCCGAAATGAGTGACAAACGGTGACTCACCAGTGACTCACGGCCTACCCGTACCCGTACCCGGCCGCACCATGGTCGCAAATGCGTACCCGTACCCGGCCAGGTACGGGTTCCCGTTCCCTACCCGTACCCTACCCGAAATGAGTGACAAACGGTGACTCACCAGTGACTCACGGCCTACCCGTACCGTACCCGGCCGCACCAGGGTCGCAAACGGCTACCCGTACCCGGCCAGGTACGGGTAGCCGGGTATCGGGTAGGGTACGGGTATCGGGTACCTGGTTGCGACCTCTGGCGACAGGGAAGAATACGGGAAGAGTTTTAATCGCTTGAATTATACCTCTCTTCGATTGCACTTACAATTGTATATGAAGGCTGGATACATATATACGGTACTGCTGATGAATACAAATACATCGGTGGGATAGGGAAGACGCGCGCATTTGTATTCAGATATTGCGTCGAGTCTTGGGGAAGAACACCCGGCTCAGACAACGAAACTCCATGGACATGTTTTGTTTGCATCAAGTCTTGATTTGTAAAACGTACATCGACCACCCACCCCTTCCGTCAGATGGCCAAACGAACAATTGACAGAGTGGCAGTCACAAGTCACCGGGAATTGCCCCAACGATGGCATCCGTGGAGAGATGGAGCGATGATTTGAAAGCATCTTCGCTGCGTGCAAGCTGCTGTTTGCTTCGGGGCTGGCAATCTGGTTTGGGTGGATGAAGCACCTTTCTTTCATCCAGTAGTAGACTGATCACGGCTGATGCCATCACAGCTACAGTCATCTGTGTATGATTAGGAATGCTGCTACTGCAGGAGAGATTCGAGATTGTAATCGATTGTGGACGTTTAATCGGCACTCGCAAGGTATCTGTTGCGCCTGTTGGCGACTTCTGTAATTCGGGGAAAGTTAAAATGCACTTTGGTTCGAAACCCACGCATCGGCCTTTGTTCGTCTTAGTTGCTAAACATAATCACTTTGTTATGTTTGAACGTGGAACATGAAGTTCACACGAATGTTGTTGTCATATCCTCCAACGGCGTGAGAACGTCTCGCTCGGTATGAGGCCAGCTTCGTGCCATCCTCACTGCCCAGGCCACAGCCAAACGCTCACCGACTCACCCACACACTCACCTCATTCACCCACTCACCCAAACACTCACCTCACTCACCCACACACTCGCCTCACTCGCCTCCTCACTCACACACTCGCACACTCACCCACACACTCACCTTACTCACCTCACTCACTCACACACTCACCTCACTCGCCCACTCACCCACACACTCACCTCATTCACCCACTCACCCAAACACTCACCTCACTCACTCACTGCAGGTAACAACAAGACACTCACCTCACTCACTCACTGCAGGTAACAACAAGACACTCACTCACTCACTGCAGGTAACAACAAGACACTCACCTCACTCACTCACTGCAGGTAACAACAAGACACTCACCTCACTCACTCACTGCAGGTAACAACAAGACACTCACCTCACTCACTCAATCACTGCAGGTAACAACAAGACACTCACCTCACTCACTGCAGGTAACAACAAGACACTCACCTCACTCACCCACTGCAGGTAACAACAAGACACTCACCTCACTCACCCACTGCAGGTAACAACAAGACACTCACCTCACTCACTCACTGCAGGTAACAACAAGACACTCACCTCACTCACTCACTGCAGGTAACAACAAGACACTCACCTCACTCACTCACTGCAGGTAACAACAAGACACTCACTCACTCACTGCAGGTAACAACAAGAAACTCACCTCACTCACTCACTGCAGGTAACAACAAGACACTCACTCACTGCAGGTAACAACAAGACACTCACCTCACTCACTCACTGCAGGTAACAACAAGACACTCACTCACTCACTGCAGGTAACAACAAGAAACTCACTTCACTCACTCACTGCAGGTAACAACAAGACACTCACCTCACTCACTCACTCACTGCAGGTAACAACAAGACACTCACCTCACTCACTCACTGCAGGTAACAACAAGACACTCACCTCACTCACTCACTGCAGGTAACAACAAGACACTCATCTCACTCACTGCAGGTAACAACAAGACACTCACCTCACTCACTCACTCACTGCAGGTAACAACAAGACACTCACCTCACTCACTCACTGCAGGTAACAACAAGACACTCACCTCACTCACTCACTCACTGCAGGTAACAACAAGACACTCACCTCACTCACTCACCCACTGCAGGTAACAACAAGACACTCACCTCACTCACTCACTGCAGGTGACAACAAGACACTCACCTCACTCACTCACTGCAGGTAACAACAAGACACTCACCTCACTCACTCACTGCAGGTAACAACAAGACACTCACCTCACTCACTCACTCACTGCAGGTAACAACAAGACACTCACCTTACTCACTCACTCACTGCAGGTAACAACAAGACACTCACCTCATCACTCACTGCAGGTAACAACAAGACACTCACCTCACTCACTCACTGCAGGTAACAACAAGACACTCACCTCACTCACTCACTCACTGCAGGTAACAACAAGACACTCACCTCACTCACTCACTGCAGGTAACAACAAGACACTCACCTCACTCACTCACTGCAGGTAACAACAAGACACTCACCTCACTCACTCACTCACTGCAGGTAACAACAAGACACTCACCTCACTCACTCACTGCAGGTAACAACAAGACACTCACCTCACTCACTCACTGCAGGTAACAACAAGACACTCACCTCACTCACTCACTCACTGCAGGTAACAACAAGACACTCACCTCACTCACTCACTGCAGGTAACAACAAGACACTCACCTCACTCACTCACTGCAGGTAACAACAAGACACTCACCTCACTCACTCACTGCAGGTCACAACAAGACACTCACCTCACTCACTCACTCACTGCAGGTAACAACAAGACACTCACCTCACTCACTCACTGCAGGTAACAACAAGACACTCACCTCACTCACTCACTGCAGGTAACAACAAGACACTCACCTCACTCACTCACTGCAGGTAACAACAAGAAACTCACCTCACTCACACAAATTGCTCACCCATCCACAACTCTATTACAACCTCTTAACAGTGCAGATGTTATTTATTTTCTAACTGTTCCATGCATTGGCGATTTTGCCATTATTAATTACGATAACTTGGCCGGGCGTTCTACCTTAAGTTAGTCCTTAAATGTTGGTTACTTTATTTTAATTCTAGATTTGAAGCTTTCGTGACTGCAAGGATTCATACTCTTAGGTTTTTTTTCGGTAAAGTCACGTAGGTACTTTAATAAATAATACTTTATTTTAATGGCCACATCATTTGCCTGTTCTAGTTACGTGAAGTTGAACATTCCAACTACACGTGCTTTAAATGTGATTTATTATTGGACCAATTTCTATTCATATTACCGTATGCCTCAGAGAATGAAACGCACTAACACCTGTGTCTGAATACGTGGGGGTGGGTGGGTAGCAATGCGCTTTGTATCTGAACCATACGGTATTCCCGTAGCGCGATGACGTCACCTACATCAATAAGAACACCGCCGCAACCGTGTTGGCGTGATGACGTCATCGCGCAAATTCTGCACTCCCGACCGGAGCATCGCTCACTTCGCGCGATGACGTCACGCAAACTGCAGTGCACGAGTTCCGCATGAAAGTGCATGACGTCACCATCCCCCCAGCCCCCCCCCTATCGACGCGATGACGTCACTCCCATCTGACTTCTGAACTGCAATGGAGAAGCCTCACAAGGCTAAATATATGCAACGTTTCGGGCAATGGTCCATATAGATATGAAAATGAAAAGCTCTTATTGACGAATCTATCGAGTGTTCTTGTGCACCACTGTCAACGCTGCATCACAAATAACCGGGGAAAAAGCAAATGCAACTTTCAACGTCTGCACAATATTAAAAAAAACATTTTAAGCCATATTCTTGGTTCTTTCGGCAAAGTCACGTAGAAGGGAAATAATAAAATAATAAAAATGAAACAATAAAATTCTCACGACGTTTCGATTGCAACACAAGCAATCATCATCAGGTGTGAAAACCACAGCAAGAATTTTTTTTAAAAAGTGGCGAAACGTGGTGAGAATTTTATTGTTTCATTTTTATCATTTTATTATTTCCCTTCTACGTTGACTTTACCGAAAGAACCAAGAATATGAATCCCCACAGTCACGAAAGCTTTAATTCGAAACATTTTAATCCATCGACCTTTTTGACCTTGGAGACCATCAGTGTCCAACAGCATTTAAGCAACACATCTATCGAGCGATAAATATGATTATTGAATTTTTACCCTTTTATCTGGCAACAAGACTGACTCCTTTTTTACAAGGAGTCATGTTTGCATTGACCATAACACCTGCGGTTGGAACACAAACAAAAAACACAACTCTGATAATGTATGCATTGTCAGGTGTCAGTTTTGTTGCCAGATAAAAGGATAAAAAACCATTATCATATTTTGCTACAGGAAAAGGATCTATCGAGCGTATTCTTAGGTTTTTTCGGTAAAGTCACGTAGGTAAATATTTAAAATTAATAAAAGTAAAATAAAATACAAATAAAAATCACGACGTTTCGGAGGCAACACAAGACGGAAGCTTGTGTTGCCTCCGAAACGTCGTGATTTTTATTTTACTTTTATTTATTTAATTTTTTACCTACGTGACTTTACCGAAAAAACCTAAGAATATGAATCCTTGCAGTCACGAAAGCTTCAAATCTAGAATCTATCGAGCGGTTTCAACATGCTGGGTCTCATCAGAGCGTCGGGCTTGCCAAAGACGCTGCGTGTTGGTGTATTCGCTGGAACACCTCATCTCGACGATGCAGCCCCTTTCTAAAGCAACAAAAAATTAACCCGTAAAAACAAAGTTTTTTACTATAAATCCTTTATATGCGTGGCGGCTAGAGTCCTCTCGTCCTCTGGCTTGAGATGGCTGCCACCTATGGGTCAGATGATTGCATGCCAGCATTAAGCAATTAGTAATTAAATATAATATTTTTGTCCTAAAAAGTGTAAAATTTTGGAAAAAAATTTTCACGAACATTAATTGTCACGCACAACGAGTCTGTGTGGAAAATGTCAGCTCGATTTGATCACGGGAAGTGGGTTAAAAAACGACCGAATAATTTGCACGGTCGTAAGCAAGCAAGCAAGCGCGCAAGTGAACTTAATATAAAGGATTTAAAAAAGCAATTTAATGTGCCAATAGCGCATTCAATAAAGTAGACATCATTGCACATATTCTCGGTTCTTTCGGTAAAGTCACGTAGAAGGGAAATAATAAAATAATAAAAATAAAACAACATTCTCACGACTTTTGATTGCAACACAAGCAATCATCATCAGGTGGTTTTCACACCTACCGAAAGAACCAAGAAGATGAATCCCTGCAGTCACGAAAGCTTTAAATCGAAAAAAATAATAATTGCACTTAAAAAATCTGCTATTGCTAAAATTATGTAAAGTTATGTGTCCACACATAAACATTTCTAGTCCATCGGCCTATTGGCTTTTCAGACCAATACAGTAATCTGTTCTGTTGCTTATATTCTCTGCAACGATGCTATACAATTATTGTGTTATGTATTACACTAAATAGACTTATCAGAATATGTATACTGGAGGAAATCCGATCAGCTATCAAGCTATTTTTTTCATAGATGCCCCGCAGACACATTTGGCTAGTATTGTTACAAACGAGCCTGACTGCTGAAGGGACACCGTATGTCGAAACCGGCCCAGAGTTTTGCTTGTAGTTAACAAAATAAACCCAGATTTGAAGCTTTCGTGACTGCAAGGATTCATATTCTTAGGTGACTTTACCGAAAAAACCTAAGAATATAAAAATAAACCCAATCATGCTGCTGCTGCTGATGGCATTTGGCAATATTTATTTACACACTTCTAGATTTGAAGCTTTCGTGACTGCAAGGATTTCTATTCTTAGGTAAAGTCACGTAGGTAAAAAATAAAAATTCATAAAAGTACAATTTTAATTTTTACCTACGTGACTTTACCGAAAAAACCTAAGAATATTTACGCGTGTGGGGCAGAGAAATATTGCAAGGAAGCGGTTACTACGACTTAATTTTATATATAAACACAATTTAATTTTCTTTTGTTTCCACAACGGCTTTTAATGATCATCGTTACGCTTTTTGAACAATAGAGATAGGGGGGGTGGGGGGGGGAATAGGGGGAGGGGGTTTAGGGGGGAAGTTGGGGGGCGGGGCCACTTGACGCATGCGCAGTGCGCGCCGTCTTGTCGCCATGATGGAGTGGATCCCGTGAGAGAGGAGAAACGGCGAGATTTTTAGCGGCGCCCGGCGCAGTTTCAACTCCCTCGCGTCTCTCGCTCTCGCTCGGCGAAGCGGAGCAGTTTGATCATATAATTTGTTTTCGTTCCCCTCTTTCCCCTCATCCCCTACCCCCACCATCATCACTCACAATCACCAACAAAACCAATCCCGCCTTCCCCCCCCTATCCAACACACCCCCAGACCCCCCCGGTTTTAATTGACATTTGGGACGGAAGAGACGCTTTAAACATGACTTCCAATTTGGGGAAACCGGGTTCCACCAAAAAGGATACGAAAATGAGAATACGCGCCTTTCCCGTGAGTTTACATCGTTGTTTTTCGTCGGAAGTTTTGACAATCCCCCCCCCCCCGGCGTTGGGCCTAGTTTGACAAGCGAGCCTCGGTCTTGCCTGAGACTCCTGCCGGGAACCCTCCTTTGGGTTCGGCGTACTTGGCCGGGCGACCCCGATGCTTTGGCCTGTACCCCGTGAATGGCCTTCGGTGTATTTTAGACCTGCTGACGCTAACACAACAGTCGGTAATGTTTATCGAGATCCGTTTTTGTTGTTTTATGAACGATTTAATGACCGTTTAATCGGTCTGATTGCGATAGGGGTTTGTTTTTTGGTAATAGGAATATGCACATAGCATTGCACGGTTGTATAATGTATTATGTGCATAGTAGAGCATGTTATTGTTATATAAAGATGGTACACAATCTAATATTCTAATCATTTAGTGATCTTCAGCTTCCATAGCGAGGGTAATTGTACATTTAACTGTGCTCTTCGTGGCGGTTATCTACAACAGTACAGTGTCCAGTACATATAATCAACTGCATAAGAACATAGCAATGTACACCAATACGTGATCGTAGTCGTACGATACAAGACGTTACTGTACACAGTAGTAGTGATCATAATTGTACATGTGACATGACTAATCAGTGTTAAAACGATGCAATTGAGATAGTGTGTATTGTACTGTGCTTATGTCACCGCAGTATACTTTATAGCTACGTGGGGCAGTACGTGTTTTCAAGACAGTATATATAACATTGTATAATGAATATGATATAAACATTTATTATGAAATGTACATTTCGGGTCTAGATAAATAACAATTGCTATATTTCCACATGACAAGACACGTGTAATGTCTTATTGTTAATTAAATTCAATTTCGATAGTAATTTCACAACACACATTTGCAGCGTTAAGATATTATTATGCAGTATATTAATAATCGTACACACGTGTGTATTAATAGTTGAGACATTTACACGGGAAAGGGCGTGTGCAATTATTGTTTAATCATGTTTAATTGTCTTGTCATCGTTTGGCAGATGCACGTGGCATTACATCGTGTAGAATACCAAGTGATTTCGTACAACGCATATTTAACGGTCGTTAATTGTGCTAATGGTTGTGACAATGCACCTACGTTCCTACTGTACATTACGCACTATACAGTCGTGTATAAGTGCACGGTGGTTGTTGATGTGTGTGTGTGCACACATGCACGCTGTACGATACGTGTTTATGCGTTGACGGAATACAATGCTCGCATGTTTGTAGCGTCTACCTGGGAGCCTTGACCGGTAGTCATTCACGATACGTTACCCACGCAGGCATTGCAGTTGCCATCTCTTTGATACTTAAACCTGAAACGCGTTTGCACAAGTGGACGGGTGGCGTCTCCCTTGCAAGAAGGGGGGGGGGTGGGGGACCCTTTCAGCTTGTTGCTTGAGACCAGGGGTGGGGAACGTCCGGCCCACGGGCCGTATATGGCCCGTGAAATCATTTGGGTCTGGCCCTGCCAAGGCAACCGCAGGCGGGACTCGAAATTCAATAAATCTAGGTGCAAACCTGGAAAAGCAGTTGCGAGTAGCAGCAACATCATCAATACCAGCTAACATCATCACACGCCTTACCAATGAGAAGCAGGTTCCAGCCCATGACATTAGGGGTGAGTTAATTCAATGTTTGACCAAATATATAACAGGCTAATGTTTAAGCTGATCATTTTGTATGGCCCGCGAATGATGTTATAAATATTCAAATGGCCCTTGGCCGGAAAAAAAGGTTTCCCACCCCTTGCTTTAGATCAAGAGACAACCACGTTCCGTTGTGGAAGGATGAGGAGGAGGAGGCGACGGCGGTGCACGATATCAAAACACAGCAGTAACACAATGGGTCTTCGGCTCACCACTGCAGCGGAGATGTGTTAACCCCCCCGTGACCATTCGTCGAGATGAAAAGTGCACAAAACCAGAGCGCACCACCACCTCCTTCTCCCTATCGCCACTGCGCACCTGGTATTACTGTAGTCATCACCAGCCATCTTTGCGGCAGATATATAAAAACATCGAGGTGACGGTGTCCCGTTTCTGAACGGCAAAGTCTGTGTCAAGCGTTCTCGCGAGAGCCCACGACGTTTCCTTTGCTGCGGTTTGCTGAAGTCGAAGTCTGGCTCGGGGGTTTGTGCTCGTTGTCATGTCGTCCTGTGTGTGTGTGCATTTTTTGTCAGAATGTGTATACCGCAGGAATCGGATGAGCTATGAAGCTCTGTTTCACAGATGTCCTGTGTGTGTGTGACTGTGAGAGAGAGTGTACGGGGAGCGGTAGTGTAGCGTTTTTTGCGCTGCTTGACGAACCCGGCGACACGAGTTTCCGCTCACGGATACCACCAATACCAGTGACGATTATCTGAACCGGTCTTGGGCCTCCCCTAGGTCGACTCGGCATCAAACGAGTACTGGGTGCGTTGTGTAATAATCGCCGCTAGGGAAACAACGGCGGTCGGGCCTGGTGCGCTGTGCCGGCCTTAATAGGAGCTCGCTAAAAGCACTTGCCCCAACAGCTCTGTTAAGGCTACACGTGATTTCTTTGTATGGATGTGTTCTCAACGTGTGTGCATCTACGTACCCCACATCTCTGATTAGCACGGCTGGATACATCAAGTACAACATGGCTCTACATACGTGGTCATGTTATCATGAAGTGACTTGTAGGAGAAGCCTTTGTTAGTAGCACTGTGATCGGTGCACGTTTGTGGCTGGGCGATTTTTTTTCAAAGCAAAGACTGGAGTTGGATTCCCTGCTGCCTGTGCCCGGTTAATATTTGTGGGCAATTTCACCAACAGCGCCTGTTGTTGAACGTTAACGTGTATATCGTGACATCGTGACATGAGTAATGGTGATCGGACTGTGTAAGTTAGTGACGAGTCATAATGTGATAGATATCAGTAAAAACAACAACTGCAAGTTGTTTTACGGGAGTTGTATGGTGACTTGAGAGAAAGTGAGAGAGTGTGTTAAACAGCAGGTTTTTTTCCAGAGAGAACTAACCACGAAGTAGTTTGGGTCTCGTGGGTGTTTAATATGCAGTGTCAAGTCATTAGAAAGCAGTTGTGCGCGCTTCAATCTGGCGTGTGTTTAAAAGTATGTGTAAACATAGTTTTGTAGCTCAGACAAGTCCGCACGTGCTGAACCACACTGAACCACTGCTTATGTTTAAATGTGTGGAGTTTTGAGCACAGAAAAGCAGTTTGCAAACTCCTAAAGCACGTCATAATCTAATGGATTAGCGTGGCACCACGAGACTCATTTCATGTAATTTATGTCCTGAAGGGCTCCGTCTAAAGTAATTTTATTAAAGGAAATTGTTCGTATGCAAATGTGTGTTTTGAAGTTCATGAGCATCCCATAAGGGTCTTCAATTTATTACAGATTTAGGACAATAAGCTGTAGTCATACCAAGTCTGGCAAGTGTTGCTGTTGGTATTGCAGATCATTTTCGTTCTATAAGTTTCACGTATGCTTGTGTTGCTGCAATATTAAGCTCAGCAGATCTATCGGCGTGCTTACATTTGCAAGCACAACGTGCAGGCACATGCACGATGTTCTCAGTAAGAGAAAGGGAAACGCGTACTGCAAGTAGAAACTCATGTCAGAAAAATAGGAAAAACACGTGAACTGGGTCAGGGGCCACCAGCAGATGAGCATACCCCCTCCCCCCACATTGCTCACTTGAATCGAGACACATTGACACTACAGATAATCTACACTGAGCGTCAAGCCATTTACTCTCACTTTGAGTGATTTGTGTGTGAGAAGAGAAAATCTACGAATATGAGATCACATAGTCACAATGCAGCTTTGTTGGTAAAACCACCTGACCTTGAGTTGTGGATTAACATTCGAGTTAAGATTAAATTAACCCCATCTTTTACTTGCCTTAAGACGCACAATGATGCAGTATGTCGCATGTTAAAGAGGAGCTACGAGAGGAGTGACAGAATTAAGATGCATGAAGTGACGCTAAAAGACTCATGGAGTGGCAATTAGAGTGTGCACGGGCGTGGGATGATCGTATTTGCACAGTGCTCGAGGCAGTGACAATATGGGGAATGCCTCCATCTGGCTGTGGATGGAAAATGACTGATGAGAGAGCGTGATAATTGAAGATTATCATTTTCTGTTGTGCCATTGGTCTGCTGCCCATCTTGGGGTTGGAGTGACCCTGCCTACACTCCACTTATATAAACACAATTCCATGCAGCAAGAGCACCTGTTTCGTCTAGCGGCAATGTCAATTGTGTCACCTCGTATTTATGAATGTGGTTTTCACGGTCATTCTTAAACGCCACTTTTCTGGCCTCCCTTTCGACGATTCACCGGTGGTTTTTTGTTACGTTCAAATGTAAAGTTAACGTCCTTTGTTACATTGGGGTCACTGCATAATTCCTTGTGACCTGATATGGCTACTTCGGCTCTATTCTCATCCAGGGCACACTGGCTTTATGCCACTGGATTTCCATTCACTTCTGCATGTGCCACAAACTAACCACTCGGCTGGGTGATGCTGTGCTCACAATCAACTCGGTCAAAAGTGTTACAGTTTAAATTCTTAGTCAAAGGTTGACTCGGCAACTCATCTTCCCGGCGTCAGTAAAATAAGTAGGTCCATTTTGTGGGAAGACAAAAATAACTAAAAAGATTAAACTATTTTTTATTTTACCAAGTTAGGCCCCTCTGAGCTATGTAGCTCTTTTTCATAAGCGACCTGGCCACAAATGATAAGCTCAACGAAGTGGCTTATCACGTGGACATTTACAGCAGCCACATTCTCTAAACGCACGTTGATTCTAAACGTGGATGGAAAATCCAGAGGTCCTGGAGAAAAACCCACGCGACCACGGGGAGGACACGCAAACTCAAAATCTACAGGCGTCATGGTTGGGATCGAACCCACAACCTCCTGTATACCAGGCGAGGTAGTTAACATCTTGATACCATGGCGCTGTAGGCCAAAAT